GAATTTAGCCAAAGATTGCTGCAAAATAGTACACGTTTTACCCAAGAAAGGTAAACCTTGATAGTTAAAGTCGCAGCCACCAAATCCAAAGTTTTAATATTTTGAGCCAAAACACTCTGTTTTTGTAAAAAGGAGTGCAGGTCATCCCTGCTGCAACCGAACTCTACAATGCGTCACTACAACTGCAATAATGAGCAATTACTATTTGATACCCTCTGCAATTACCTGTTTCTCTATATTTGACACACAGTGCAATAACTATATATATAAAAAATATAAATATCCATCTATATAAATATCCATGTTATCACCCTGTGCAATAATGCTACTATAAAAAAAAAAACAGTCATATGTGGACGCACTGTATATACTGTATATATCCAATGTGCCTTTTTCGTCATCACATTCTTCTTCTTTGACTATTTGAGTTGATGTTACGAGTATATTTCTCCACTGCGAGATCAATAAAGTCAATCAAATATCAGCAGTAAGGTAAGGATCTACACAGACACTGCTGATTTTGGTTAATTATGTTTATCCATATATTAAAGGGGCAAACATGGCAGCAAGGCAAAGCAGCATGTTACAAATGCTTCAAAGGTTTTTAAAGAGAAATCAGAACCAGCTATAACTGGTATTGAAACAGCACCCTTATACATAAACTGAAAAGATAAAATAAGCCATGAATCTCTAAACGGTAAGTCTAATAATAAGACACCATCTGAGAGTCCCTCATATATTGGATATAAACACCGGCAGAGGTTAATTTTGTCCCGCATTCATCAAAAGCCTTCCCAGGTTTTTACTTACTTGATATATCTAAACTATATTATTGTGTCTTTTGAAGTTAGCCGCAGCTAATTCTACCCTGAAAAGTATCCACTAACCGCCTCTCAACATTTTTTAGCCACGTCACAAACCACAGATCAGGTTTGCAGCCCCTCTTAGAGCTGCCCACCCAGCATGCTGCCTGTAATTGAACCCAAAACCAGTGCTGAGTGGTCTTTACGAGGGTCCCATTTCATTTTTTACCATCCACGCTGGCGTCGTCCACCAGGATGATCTCCTTGAGGAGAATTGCAGGGGAAGTGTGGAGGACGCTGTAAACCGTCCTCAGCAGAGTGCTCCAAGCCTCGTTGTGAAACACAATAATCACGCTGGTGGTGGGCAAGGGGGGGCACCGCTTGAACTTTTGCTCAATGCATCTGCATGAGGTAAAAAAAAAAAGAAGAAAAGACATGACTACTTTGAATGGTTTGTAAAAGGCTTAAGTGTGGTTATTACATCTGCAGGGTGTCCCCTGTGGGGAATCCCTTTCAACTTTGGCAATGCAACATTTGAAATATTTGGCAAACTGGAATGGGAAAGATGTTGCTCGCTATTTCAAGTACATGCACCCTATTTAGTAATTTAGACAATTTACATTTTTGCCTGAGTTTTGTAGCGACTACAAACATCAGCTTTTATCTGATTTTATCCACAAAGATAACAGGACATGCTGAAAAAATACCAGGGGGTTTCTACCTGACATTTTCCTTAGAAGCAAAATGTGTATGTAAGTCATTGGTTAGTTGTGTATCATTACAGTATTTACATAGAAAAGGTTTAGAGAGATGTCCACATACTCTGGCGGTCTTGTGTCAGCTCCCAGGTCTCGACTCAGAGAGATGCGATCGCTGGCGTAAACATTGAAGCAGTGCTTCTCATCACCCCTGTCCTTCTCCTTCTGCTCTTCAGGACTGAGTGAATCTGTATGGAAAGGTTTACCAGCGGCTCCAGGAGAAAGGGGATTCTGAGGTGGCCTCTCCAGAGCCGGTCTGAGCTCAGCAGCAGTGTAGTGACCTGGCAGGCAGGAGGCAGCCCCTGGTTTATCCCGTTGTCGTACTGGGGCTTTGATCTGGTTCTTTGGCATTGCATGCTTAAAGTTATTGACAGCCCCTATAACCATTCCCAGCATGCTGTCACGCTTCACTGCCATGTCCTTTAGCCAGGGATCATCCTCTTGGCTTTGAGTCCCAACTTCCCATTGTATAAAGAACAGAAATGTGACAAACACTAGGGTCACTATAACCAGTTTTAGTGGGTGAAGTGGTCTTCGGAGTACTCTTCGGAAAAAGGTCATTCTTTTTTTTCTTGGCTGCGGCTGGTTGTGGACAAAGATCAAGCTGTAATGAAGACACATATTTACACATAAAAAAATACCATAAAAAGTAACTTTGGCTGTTAAAAACACAGATTTATTCATATGTTTGTAAATATAATGTTTCACAGTAGATGTCAGAATAGTGCACCTTTAATGCGTATTGGTCTTTAACTTGATTATGAAATACAATTTCCTAATAATGCTTATATTCAAAAGTAGTGTGCAGATATAATTAAAAGTTACATTTTAACCCAAATCTGCCTGCATGGACTTTAATAACTTTGGGTGGAAACCTGGAAGGACTCTGGACAACTTGATTGCACACTTAAGTAATTTGGCAATTTGATTCAGGTGTGTTGGACAAAAAAAAAAATTAAAAAAGCATCTTAAAGTTGTAGGTCATCAGCCTTAGAGGAGTATTGCCCATCCCTGTGCATCGACAAAGGCTCACATACCTGAAGGCTTAGAGAAAGTTGACAGTGTAAAAGAACTAAAAGCAAGCTGAACTCCTTCATCCACTCCTTGGTAATGAAATAAACCATTTACTGAACTTGTGGTTGACATTGAAAATGTTTACCTACTACATTAGAGTTTAAGTTTATTAAGTTTTATAAACTATATTTTAAGATTTCACTAATACTTCCTGTTTTATTTAAAAAAATCAGCCACCCTCAGCTATTAGTAAAATAGGTATTTTTTTCATTGAGTAAAAAAAAAAGTGATGATTATAAACAGAATGTACCCATTCTCTTTTAGTTTAGAAATTGATTATGATCTATTTTCTAAAATTTCTACAAGGAATGGGCCAACTGGGGAAAATAGGTTTGTCTAAACAAAAAAAGTTTAACTTTTGAAAACTCTCCAGCTTCTTTCCAGCTCAAAGCAACCTAGAATGATTCAAATTGATTTTTCTTAAATATAAATATATACCAGTAGAAAGGAATCAGGATTATGCATTTCTTTGAACTAAACAAGCCGTACCTTAAGTCGCTGAATTGAAGTTTACGCTTGGCAATCCATAAACGAAAAACATCCAGGGATCTAACATCCTGCTGAAAACCTATTTGCTGCTTTAATTCCACAAAAAAATTTACTTTTGAAAAACATTAAAAAAAAAAAAGTATTCCCTCTGACTTCGACGAACTTCCGTCTGGTTGGTTCCAGGTGCGCTTCTCTCAGGTAGAAGGGGGTGGCGCGCATGCGCAAAGCAAACCCCTGCATGTCATAATCCATATCTGGAACTCAACAGGAAAACTATCACAATAAAAGTATGCATCTCTTTTGTTTCCCGAAATGAATCGTAGATTTAAATCGTATCACGTAAATCCAAATTAAATCAAATACCTTTTTCAATCACAGCTGCAATGAGAAGCGTCATTAAGAGGATTTGTTCATCTGGTGTTTCACCGGGAGAGTTGCTGGGTTACAAATAACGCAGGAATGCCACATACTCCACCGCGTCCAATCACGCTCCGGGGAAGCCCCAGTATTACTGACAGATCTTAAAACTTCATGAACACTTAAAAACTATTCAATTAGAAATCTGCGGATCCGAAATTATCCGTGGTTAGAAACAGTCATCCAGCGCGTGCTTTTTGTTTCAGATTCAAGTGATGAAAGTTGAAACTCACCGCCGCTCTCCGTAGCTGCTATTTCTAAAATATTCCAAGGAGGAAATTTCCTCTTACAGAAAAAAAGAAGAATTGCGCTTTGCTTATTTAAGAGCAGGTTTCAGTCCCGTTAAATCTCCCTTGATGCCCGGTAGTCTGTCTCTGAGTGACTCCCTCTGTGGGGACTGTGTCCCCCCATCGCTTCCCAGCAGCAGCAGGAAGCCTCTATATTATGTCCAATATAATGCTGGCTGTGTGCTGGAGGGTCATGCTGGTCACGTCATTAGCAGCCGCGTGTTCATCCTCAATTAAGAGAGTTCAGAAAATAAGCAAGATACTGCAATAAAAACTTTTTTTTGACAAAAAGACAATTCCTTTTATTTTCTCTTATAAGACAACAAAAAGGGCTTAGGTTTGCATAGGGACATGTTCTTACCAATATTTTGGGCCAACCTTTATTGTCCTTTCCAATAATTCTATGTGAATAATATGTTTATAATTTACAATATAGTGTTGTAGAAGCAGTCACTTCTTTTCTCACAACTTGTATATTAAAGTTAATATTTTAAATGCTTAGTGTCAGTTCCTCCTATAGTTCCCGCGCCCATGTAAATACAATAAATCTATTTGCAGTCCCTTAAATATTTTATTTTGCTTGGTTTTACAATACAGAAAATATCAGCATATCAAATAAAAATAATAACAGTGGGTTTTACCTGTGTTTACCTCTGCACAATTCTATTGCTTCAAAAGAAAACACAGGATAAATACACCAACAACAGGCATATTTAGACTATATTTGTTTAAAAAGGCACGTATTTACCTTCCGTCTTAGTCACTGGTAAGTTCAAATGTAACCCTTTTCAAAGTGTTAAGTTGTCCCAATTTTACATTATTCCGAGCCACTGATGCATCAAACATCGATAAACAGCATATTGTGTGTGTAGTGCTTATAAAATTTGCATAAATGTAGCAAAAAATGCAGTTTTCTCTTGCTCGAAATGCGCCCTGATGCTCACGTCGAGCATAAAAAGAATAGGAGCATGCATGATGATCAGGACATATGATATCAAACCAATTCAACTTAAGACCAATAGTGTCCCTACCAAAGTTGAAATCTAACCTATGCCCTTGAGTCATTCATCAGCAGGGGTCCTTTCAGGATGCTATGTAAAGGATGGACAGATGAGGGATACAAAAAACATAACTTCTGTTTTATCAATATTCATATTTATTATTAGCTGCATACTACAAAGTGACCACATTTTTTAACAGATAAAGAGATCAATAAAATAATGAATGCACGAGCAATATGCTATGGAAAAAAAAACAAAAGTAATATTTCTGCAATCTTACAATCTTTTGAGTGAGAATATATCTTCTTTTAAATGACAGACAAAGATTCAGATTGTCAAAATTGTTTCAACATCATATAAACATTTCACTTAAGGAAATACTTAATGCAGTTTTGTGAGGAGGAAAATACTCATTAAAAATAATAAATCAATGAAAAGTACATCTTGGCCTATTATAGAAAAAGTAATTGCTCCTTAAACCATCCTTGGATGCCACATCTGTCATTAAGACTTTGTGATAATAACACTTTGGGGCAGAAATTTTGACTGACTTCTTTTTACTGCAGGATCTATTTTCAGCATCACTACCTCTGCTTCCTGACCGAAGTATCATTGAACTATGGCTAAATATAAGCAGTTCTTTCAGAGAATGTAAACTTGTTAGCACAGCTGTATACCAATATAAACCAGGAATAGTTCTAAAGATACGCAAGCAAACGCTGTTTGCTTCGGTGTTAGCGTCCATGACAGCATTATGCATTGCATGCCAGTCATCAGAACTAAACAGGTCCATGTACAAAGAGTGAACCTCTTACATCTTAAAACTCATTTATCAAAATCTGTCAAGACATTTTTGTCCACTTTAATATTTAAATTGACAGCTGATCATGTAGATTCTTGCCCACCTCGTAATCTCATCCACCCAAAAATACACAAAAAAGAACATTTTTATTTACCCACACTCCTCACAGAAACTTAAGGCTCTTTAAAATGTTTATAGTTTAAAACCCTACATAACTACACAACTGTTTTCTAGTCAGTTTGATTTGTTTGCTAAATGTAAAGATTATACTGTAGCATCTTTAACAGACACCATACAAATACCTCCGACTTTTGTCTGTCAAAATTATAAAATGCAGTGTCAGTGTGAAAAAATAAATAAAATGCAAATATTTGTAAGATTTCCACTCCAATCTAAAGAAAAAAACATATATAAACAATTTAATTGCTTTTCAGGAACAGATGCCTGAAAGTATATTCTCTGTGTTTTCCCATTAGATTTCTTCTTTGCTATTTGCTAACAGGCAAACACATGAACATCTGACTTTATGATCTCAAGGCAGAGCGAGCTTTGTCCAGGATTTCTTTCCTCATTTTTGGATAATCTGGATGAGCAGCAAGAACCTGCGGACAGAAATGCAGCTGCGTCAAAGCACAAAACCACATCCGAGACATCAAACTCTGCTCATTTATTTTCAGATCCCTCACCTTATGACATACATCTATGGCATCAACATGCCTCTTTGCTTTCAAGTAGTTAAAAGCAAGCTTGTATCCTAAATGAAAAGCAGACATTAGATGTTGGAAATGTGACTCTCTTTTGATCCTCTTATGACTAGAAGGGGACCCCTGATTTTGTTTGACATACCAATAGCAGGGTTTTTCTGATTTCCATATTTCCAAGCCATTTCGTAGTTGAGAGCTGCATCGCGGAATGCCTGGTCTTTTTCCATTATGTAGCCCTGATACTCATAAGCTTTGCAGCACGACTGGGAACAAGTACAGATGTAAAATCTTAGATCACAGCTGGTATAACACAAAAAAGATTTTCTCCCTAAGGGTTTTAAGAAGGATGTATAGATATCGTATTCAAAGTGTATCAACATGTTTAAGCCCACCTTGTTATGATTGAGGCATCGTTTTAGAAGGTCTCCAGCCATGTCGTACTTGCCCGAGTGGATGTAAATATCTGCCAAGAGAAGCCAGCTCTTCTCAAACTCATCAGCATCAGCAATGTTCCAGTTCATCTTGGCTATGCGTTTGAGCTGGTTTCTGGCTCGAGGAGTTTGTTTCAGCATCATGTATGCTGTTGCCATGGCCAACAAAGCTGGAACGTGGTCTTTCTGAATTCCACAAAAGAATATACGTAGGAGAGACGGGATGAATCCCACAAAACCACAATTCTACTTTATAAAGACCAACTATGAGAAAGTTCATAATCAGACACTGGAAATTTAAGCTTTTAAATAAAATGTCAATAATAAAAAGTAGAGGGCCTGAATACAATACTGTGCTCCTAGTGTGGGCATATTTACACAAGAAAGAATAATGTCGTGCACCATCTGGAGTCTACTTACCTCATTGTTTGCAATCTCTGTGAAAACATTGAGGGCTTTCTCTATGTTTGCCTTCTGTTTAGTAGACAGCAAGCAGTAGTTCTCCAGGATGCGGAGCTGTACATGTCCGCCTGGAGTCTGAGGCTTTATCTCCTTGAGAAGCTTCTCCGCTGTTCTCACAGCAAGCTGCTCAGACTCTTGCTTTTCTGTGGAGTTGCTAAGGAGACAAAGTGGAATCACGATAGCATTGAAATAATGCCTTTAAAGTTTAAAACCAGAGGCAAACCTTTGGTTACAAAGGCACTGTAAGGGTCCTAAAAAATCCTGGATCTTTTTATGATCTCATTATTTAGAAATAATTTCCTGTTTAAATGATAGACATGTACCAGTTGTGCTGCATAAGGTTTCTTGCTTTAAGTAAAATTATCCCAATAAGGAAATGGGAAGGGAAAAATTAGCCATGAAACTGCTCACTGAATACCAATTAATAAAGTATTCAAAAAGCCTTTATTCTATATAAAACTAACAGAGAAGCTAACAGAAGATGTGTTGAATTTAGGAGTGGACTTTACTGAGACATCTCAACATAAATACACTTTAAATTTAAACTATTTGATTGCAGCTATTTCAGGATATGTAGAGGTTTCTCTGTGCTGGAAGATAAATTTCCATCCGATGTCAAATCTTAACACACTCTAATGGGTATTGAGCCAAGACAGCACTGTATTTTGTTCCATCTTTCTTCCATTAAACTCGGACAAAATTGGGGGTAGTATGTTTAGTAGAGCGTCAGATAAAAAAGTAAACAATCTTTTTGATCAGGACCTGTTATTTGAACCCCATATCAGATAGGTTTCTAGAATATCCTTCTTTCATCTGCGGAATATTGCAAAAAAATTGAAATATTCTGTCCAGGGATGATGCTGAGAAACTAGTCCATGCATTTGTTACTTCAAGGCTGTACTAGTGTAATTCTTTACTATCAGGAAGTCAACAAACTGTAGTTAAAAGCCTTCAGCTGATCCAAAATGCTGCAGCATGAGTTCTGATGAAAATTAAAAGAGATCATATCTCTCCTATCCTGGCTTCTCTTCATTGGCTTCCTGTTAAATCCAGAATAGAATTTAAAATCTTCGTTCTCACATATAAATCCTTAAATGGCCAAGCTCCATCTTACATTAGAAATATGATTGTTCCTTTTGTTCCGAATAAAGCACTTTGCTCCTAATCTTCAGGTTTACTAGTGGTTCCTAGAATGTCTAAAAGTAGAATGGGAGGCAGATCTTCTAGTTATCAGGCTCCTCTCCTCTGGAACCAAATACCAGTTTTAGTCTGTGAGGCAGACACCCTGTCTACTTTTAAGGGTAGGCTTAAAATTTTCCTTTTTGATAAAGCTTATAGTTAGAGTGGCTCAGGTTATCCTGAGCTATCTCCATAGTTATGCTGCTATAGACTTAGACTGCTGGAGGACATAGAGACCCCTTTTTCATCATTCTGATCCATTCTATCTCTATTCTCCCACTCTGCAGAATTTCTTAGTTCAATCTCTAACAATATGCTCTCTCTGCTTTTTCTCATGGTAGCTTTACTGGTCTGCTCCTGTTTGGCTGTGGCACAATCCTGGAGAGAAGTATCAGCTATGATGCTGCATCAACACCTTTGTAGATGTTTGAGATTGGCCTAGTTTTCAGTGTAGTTCTCTTTCTCTGACTGTGACAAACTGGATGTGCCCTTTTTGTCCCCTGACGTGGGGTCTGGCTCGCAGCTTGTCTGCCTGGCTGTGTCTTTCCTGGATGGGGACGCATGTGGAGCTGGTTGACAAGTTCTTTTTGTATCTCTGCTTATTTCTGTATGTCTGCTTCTGTTTCCTTGAACCCCAGTCGGCCTCGGCAGATGGCCGCTCAAACCAAGCCTGGTTCTGCTGGAGGTTTCTTCCTGTTATAAAGGAGTTTTTCCTCTCCACTGTCACTACAAGCATGATTGGTGTGAGGGATTGCCTTCCAGTCAATTATTCGATGCAATCAACTGGTTTTCCTTAGATAAAAAAAAACTTTGAATCAATTTGGTTGAATTGTATCTGTAAAGTGCCTTGAGATGACATGTGTTTTCAATTAGTGCTACAGTACATAAATAAACTGAATTGAATCAAGCAAGTTCCCCTTAGAAAGATGAGAGGGCTGTGATTTTCATAAGAGGTAAACTTCAATTATGAGACAAAATCAGAAAAAAGTAGTAAGAAACTATATTTAATTTTTTGAAGCATTGATTTTCAAATTATGGTAGAAAATAAATATTCAATGACAAAATTTTAATAACAGGTCAAATCTTTCCTGTACGTCTTCACCAGATTTGCTCACACTGTAGCTGGTGTTACGGCCCAATGCTCCATGCAGTTCTCCTCTATAGTAATAATATTTTTGGGTTGTCTCTGTGCAATATGGACTTTTAACCTTTTAAATCTTTTATACAGATAACAAGTTCAAATGGTTACCATTAAAGTAAGCAACAGGTGGATGACAGAAGAGTTTCCTAAAGAAGAAGTTAGAGGTCTCAGAGGGTCAGACGTCCTGCTTCTTTGTGGGTGACTGAATACGTATTTTCCCCATTGGTTTACCAATAAATGATTTAAATTATTAATAATTTCCCTCATTTTATCTCTCATATTCAAAGTATAACTATGATGAAAATTACAAACCTCTCTCATCTTTCTAAGTAGGAGAACATGCACAATCAGTCACTGACTAAATATTGCTTTCCTCCACTTTATCTGCCCAGAGCTTTTTAAGCACGCATGTGGAAGACATGCTTGTGAAAATCTAGAGACGCAGCTTCTTTTAACAATGGCTTTTCCTCCTTTTTAGGGTGTATCAGAGTAAGCTGAGAGACTATTAAACACTGTGTTTTGGTCCATTTTAAGAAATTGCAATAAAACATTATGAAACTTGTGTTTATAACAAAAGAAAATGGGAAAAAGTTCAGGAGATCTTAAAAGTATTAACAGGGTATTGTAGAATTACCTCTACTAAATAAAAGTATAGCCCTTTAAAGTTATCAAGATCTAAATTAATCAAAAAAGAATGTTAAACTTCCCTAATTGTAACTGAATTTTTCCTCATAATATTGGCCATATTAAATTATAACATTTTAGGGGTTTGTTCAGCTTTGCACCTTGGGCAGTTTAAATTTAAAGTTTTAACCTTACTCTTGTTATACCACTTTTTGTCAGTCTGCTCAGATGGCTGACCAGAGAGGATGGGAACATTCTGTCCCTCGCTTCGTGCTTCATAACCCTTTTTTTTTTACTGAGCTTCTTTTGTGTGGGGGTGGCTACTTTTGGGCTTCAAAGCAGAAATCTGAGGCGGGACTATTGACTTTCTTTTTGGGATGGCTGTTTCTTCAGTGGCTGAGGCTACCTGCCTATTGTTGCTCATGGGTGGTGAATTTTGTGATGTCTAAATCGTTCTCCCCACTTTTTAACCCTACTCCTCAAGGTGAAAAATTCACACACCTACTCCAAACAGTCTCCTACAAATCCACACTCCCAAGCACTGCGACTCCATGTTCACACTGACATACAGTATGTTCAGTGTCTGCTTAAATATCTGTCGCTAAGGCTGCGGTGAAGATAATCTATACCGAATGCAGCTGAAAATTTTCCAGCCAATTTGTCAGTCATAAACACCATCTTTAAAAGTGGTAAGCTGCAAAATGCTATTACCAAATAAGCTGGCTATTTACAGAAAGCTTGATCCAGGTATAATTAAGGAGAGTTAAATATTAAGAAAAACTAAGTCTGCAATAGCACCTGAAATAACTGCAGTTTTGAGGGGATTGGAAAGCAAAGCCCACTGAAGAGTTTTGGTGAAATTCACAAAACCTAAACTATAGCTGGAACCAGTAATTATACCCCAAATGTGCCATTGGGCTAGACAGAAGACAGATAATTGATGGGAAATTTTAAAGATGAGCCAATGCGGATGAGCTGAAGCCCCTGTAGTCTGATTACCTTGTCTGATTACTTTGATACCATATTGCATTGATGCATAATTCAAGGAAGGAGCCTTACCAGGTATAATGTGTATATCCAGTAAGTGGCCAAATCTTTCACTAAGCTGATGATCTAACTTTTAAGTGTTCGTGTTGGATTCATCAACTGTAAGCTTCACTCATCAAAAATGATCAGAAGTCCTGAAATACATTTTCATTCCAGGCAGATAGCTGCATGTATGACCTCCTCCATGTGTGGAATCTTGCTTGTTTGTGGTTGACATGACTGAAAAAACTTGAATAACCAGCCAGATTTTTTACTGTCACTGACTGCATATAAGCTCTATTTTTCAGACTAGAATATTGGCTCAGAATTAATCTACCTAGACGGGTTTCTCTTCTAAATGAAGCCACTAGAGGAGCTACTACTACCTTCTACCTTATTAGTGCTTCTGGGTTCCTTTAGTATGTGTGCACCATCCACTCATACCCCTAGTCCGATGTGCAGGAAGGCCATTTGCACTGAGTTTGGTTCTGCAGAAGGTTTCTTCTTGTTAAGGTGAGTCTTCCTCCCTAGTGTTGCTATACGCATGCTCAGTATGAGGTACTGCTGCAAAGTCAATCACAATTCTAGCAACTGTCCCCTGTTACTGCATGCTCTTACAAAGGGAGCAAATTCAATGACTCAAGGCAAATCAGCTCGGTTTCCATAGACAGAAAACTTACTAACCAGTCTGTCTCTATACTTTGACTGAATTAACTGCAAAGCTCCTTGACATGTTTGTATAAATAAAGTGATTTAATTTCCATTTTTAGGCTGAATTACTATAATAAATAAAATATCTTTTAAATTGTAACCTCGTTTATTGAGATTAATCCCCATGCTCTTTAATACTCAGCTTATGTAGAACTCACCTGATTTCCCCATCTAAATTTTCAAATACTTCTCCTCCAATTGTCTCGTTGTCAGGGTTGAGCAAGATTTCAATCATGTTATACAAAGCATTCTGACCCCAGTCATTATCTTTCCGAGCCTTGTTGAAGTGTCTCAGAGCATCATTAGCTTCTCCAGTGTACCTGTGCAAAAGGTGTAGTTTAGACCCATGGTTTGGAAAAACAAGGTTGACTAAAATTGATTTAACTTACCAAAGATAAAGGCCCTTGCAGTAGTTGAAGCCTGGGTCTAATTTAACTCTGGAAGAATGTTTTTCAGCCTTCTCAAGGAAACTGGGGATTTTCTCCAACTTGCCGGCTCTCCTCAACAAGTTGATGAGATGTGATAGAGTTGGGTAGTTGTCTGGAGAAAACAGATTTGGTTTCAGATTTAAAAATGATAAGTTGCTATTTGTATTCACTGATGAAATGTAATTACCTGGTTTGTGTGTCAGAAGTTGGGTAAAATTACTAAGAGCCCAGTCATATTCCTGTTTTCTGAAATGAATGTCTGCCATCATCTAAGAAGAAACATGTAAGAGAAATTCTGCATTTGGTTTCAAAAATAAAATGTGACATCCGTGTTGTTAGTGGGACAGCACCAACCAAAGTAGCATCTTCATTAAAATTGTCATTCTTCAAAATCTCACTGCATTGCTCCTGGCATAAATCGAGCTCATCCAGTGTGAGGTACAACTGTGCCAGCGCCTGCATTACCTAAGAACAGGAAGCACATTCATCTGAACCGCTCACATGGCACAGGATATTGCATATAACGATGCTGAAAAGATATTTAACCTAAAGAAAAGCTTCAGCAAATTAAATTAGTAATAATTTTAGAAAGACTGGAAGGCTAAAAAACTAACTCTTGCTATGTACAGCTCACAGCGGCACTAAGTACACACAACGCTTTTGATTGAGCTGCACTGACCTTGCGATCGGTCTCACAATACACAAGAGCCTCTTTGTAGAATTTGACCGCTCTCTCATAGCCTCTCTGACTTGTATAGTGTTTGGCGATTTCAGCACAGATCTCTGCAGCAAGTTGCTTCTGCGCGGGGACGGCATCAGGCTGCTCCAACTGCACACGCTTCAGCACTTTGGCCTGAACATCTCGAGCCTGTGAAGAGCAGATTATTCAACATTATACAGTAAACATAAATAAAAGACACATAAATTAAGGCACTGTTTTGAGAAAATGTGTTAATAGCTGTTTTGAATCCAACTGAATCGCACCGATACAAATTCATTTAGAATGTGCTTGATTAAATATATAATTAAACCAAAGTCAGACCTGTTTTTCTCATTAAAATTCCTTGAGATGACATTTATGAAAACATATAAGAAAACCTCTATTAAATGTAATTAAAAACATAATTAAAAGAGGGTGCTGAGAAAGATTGAATGTCATCACTCACTTTCTGCAGCGACATTAAAGCTTCTTCATTTTTCTCTGCTTTAGTTTGGACCTTCGCTAGCAGCACTAGATAACGGCAGTTATCTAAGAGAGCAGAAAGCTCATTCGCTTGAGGGGAAAAAAGCAACACAACAAAACAAAAGTCAGAAACACAACATGACAATATGGAACTGAAGCAGTAATGTATGGGTTCTAGTGTAACACTAGTAAAAGGGTGAATTTTTGGAAACCTTCTTGTGGTCTGATGCATGAAGATTACTTGATAAATTGAGAATAGAAGAACCAGACTGTACACAATGGTTTGATGATGATGAATCAAACTTTTTTTTTAGGTGAAAAGCTTATAAGCCCATTGAGCAGCTTTATCGTTAGAGGAAGTTATAATCAGTTTAATCTCACCTCACAGTCAAACTTTGATTTTTAATGTCTAAACCCCTTTCCCAGCCAGTATCTTTGCATAATGTTTCAACATGTCTGTGTCGTGCCCTGAATATTGAGACAGTGGAAGTACCTGGCTCGTGAGCCAAAGCGTCATGCAATACTCTCTCACAGCGCTCATACTGCTTCATCTTCATCAGAAGCTCAGCCAAGTCATAGCGTAGGAAGTTCTGCTGCTCCGTCTTTAGAGCTGCCTCATAGTAACTAATTGCCTGCAATGGCCACAACAGCCATGCGTCATCAAACTGTTATCTGTGAGTAACACATGTGGGTATTAGATAAATAACCTACCTTGACGTAGTTATGAGTCTTGACCAGCGCTTTCCCAATTTTACTAGCCAATGCTCCATCTTTGGGGTTTTTCTTCAGAGCTTGCTCATAAACCTCAATGGCCTTCTCTGGCTAAACATAAACACATATGACTCTAAGTAGCGTTAAAGTTTATTGCTGCTTTCAGGTTTATATAAATATTAGAAATAGCTGGAAACAAGTTGTAAACATGTAATAGGCTGCTAAATGCTTTAATGTGCAATCTGTTAGGAAATTTGGATAAAATTAAAGTTATTAATGGTGGAAGGGCTGGAAAGATCCATCTAGGCCAAATTGTATCTTGTGTCACAACCAAGGCATGTGTCAACATAAAAAGGCCAAGGTTGTCACCCATACAGTCATGAGGGTAATACAGCATGTTCCCTGATTTGTCTAAAAACATCTTCTGAACCTTCTGCCACTTAGCTGCATGTTCACTGTGTGTTTTTCCACTCTCAGCAGCTAATAAATGTGATCATGGTTGCTTTCCTTTGTTGAGCAACCTGGATTTTACAGTGAAGACATTTTATTTTGTAACACAGGGATTTTTTTTTTTTTTTACATGGTTAGCAAGTTACATACCTAAATGATCCTATTTCTATCCACCAATGAAAGGGTTAGAAAGGGCTGAAGCTATTTTTGTGTCAAAGTAATGTACTGTAGCTCAACGGTAGGACTGCTAGAGTGGATTTTATATAGTTTTAACAAAATTTGTCAACAAATTTTATTACTTTCTAAGAAAATAAGAGTTTCTACGAAATATAAAATCCATTCATCTGAGCCACTGTTTATAGTTTTGTAAATGAATAACTAAATAAAAATGAAAGTTTTTTTTAACAGAAACTGATCAGATTGAGTACAACTAAATCCCCTTTCAGATTACATTTTTGTTACATTATCATCCGCTTTACGCCTTAGTGTCAACTCACCGATACACGGACACAAATTAATCATGTTGCTATTTCGTCACATTTCAAATCATTTTATTCTTAATTAAAGAAATGAAAAACTGTCATACAGGTTCTAAATATATGGTACTCAAATAACTGGCTACTGCAGCCGCACAGATAGTGAAATTGCAATATCTATAAATTTACAGCATACTGTGCCCCTCGTGTTGTGAAATATAAAAAGGAAAAAGTAATCTGTAATTTTCATTAGATAAAAAAACTCAAATAAGTAATTATATCAAAATGAAGCAAGTATTTTACCTCCTGGATGTACATGTAAGCATCACCAAGTAAGAGATATGTGTGAGGACTAGGAAGCTTCTCCACCATTTCTCTGTAGGAAATAACATCAGATGATGTTTGTGTTATTTAAACAGCTTTCTGAATAATACGAGTTACTCATACATCAGTAAGTCCAAGCTATTTAAAAAAAAAAAACACTTTATCTTCTACATCAATGGCTCACACCTTAATAATTGATCTTCAGCTTTTAAACAGAGGCTAAAATATATAAACTGCAGGAACTGTTTGGGTTTTTTGTTAGATTTTACTTTTCACTCTGCCTTTAAGATAATTAGATATTATCCAAGATTTCAGACAGATTTTTTTTTTTTTTTTTTTTTACATTTTTGAAATCAAAATATTAGTCTCACCTGTAGCAGCTGGCATACAGTCTTTTATCCCTTCTGTGTTTCAGATATATATCAGCCATTTTCTCTTTGGCTGAGACATAATAGGGCTGCTCAGGTGTAATGTTTCTTAGGATACTCAGTGCCAGCTCAGTGTCACCACGTAGCAGGGCCAGGTCCGCATTAGCAATAGTAACACGCAGCTCCTCAGGAGTTCCAGAAAACTCATTGATGGCATCCTGCATCACTTTTGTTGCTTCGTGCTGTAATATGAAACGTAATATGAAATGAAATATGTTCATCCTCTAATAACGCTTTCCATAAAGGCCAGAAATAATGAGAATGTATTTATTCATTTAAGGATCCCCATCTCTATAGAGACCACTCTTCCTGGGGTCCATTTTCAACAAAAATCAACCCAATCAGTACATACAACAAACCCACAGAATCTCACAAAATCCAAATAAAATTGTGTCAGGTACATAACAACTCTCTCTCACCTGTTCCCCATTAAGCCACAGGGCCTCAGCTAGCTCCAAGAAGAGAGACACGCAGTCAGCAGAGCTAAGCTCGGCCTTCTTGTGCTTAGACTTGGACGAAGATCCAGCTCTACGGACACCTGGGAGACTCATGGCCATCTGCAATGTCTGAATAGCCTCTCCAAGCTCACCTGCCTTCTTCTTAGCCTGAGCTTTGATAAGGTGATATAAAGGGTGTTCTCGAATCTAGAATGCACAACAAATCACAAACCCCTTAGATAAACACTATCTGAACCAATAAGGCAATATGACCCTCTTTTGGCATTATACAACTTGATTTAAAGAAAGTCGTTTTTCTGTGTTTTACCTCAAAATTATGGCTGAGGCAGTTTTCAAGAGACTGGTTACAAAGCATCATGTTACCCTGCAGGAGATGGATCTGGGCCAGTAGCAGGTGAGCATCTGCATGAGAAGGGCATTGCTCCAGGCAGTGGTTTAGGCTGCTCTGAGCAGCTTCTATATCGCCTGAAGAAATACAGAAACAATGCAATTCAAAACACTAAGCACAAAAATATATCAATAATTAACATACAAGTACATTTATATGAATTTCAAACTAACATACAAATATTATATATAGTTATATACAGTTATTCACTACAAAAATAAAACTCAGATTATATAAAAATATATATTCAATAAATACAGAAGGACATATTTGAAGATTTTCTTTGTCAATTTGACTGTTATATAAATAATTTGAAGATTTTTCTAAGGAAGCTGCTTGTTCATTTCAGCACTATATCCTAGCATAATGTTGGATGGTGGAGTTGAAAGAAATAAACAAAAAAACACAAAACACAGCTTTGATATAGAACCCTTCTGCATTTTTTGCAAAAAAACCTAAACAAAAACACAAGGGGTGTTAAAAATCATACCACCACTGCCAAGAATCTTCGATGTGAAGTAAGGAATACATGGCCTCAAACCAATGGATTTATGGCAAATTATAAATGGGCAGTAAGTGTAAAGTTAAACTACATTTAACCATTCACACACTGATGGTGGTAGGCTACATAGTAGCCACAGCTGCATTGGGATAGACTGACAGAGGCAAAGCTGCCATAGAGTTGGCGCCACCGAAAGCACTTTAGCCAACCTGCCCAGAAATTATACCCTTTGCTCTTCTCCCTGTACACCAACAGCTGCATCTGTAGGAGATTGACCACTTGGTGATCTGGTGCAGCCAGAACAACTGGAGCTTAACTCTTGGAAAACACAGCCCATCCCTCGCCTATCATCCTCTGCGAGTCTCCAGTCACCACCATGGACTTCTTCCAGTTGAAGGCTGCAGTATGTCATTCATTCTGCAAAGAGGATGACTAGCTGTAACCTCCCTTCTTTTCAGGAACTGTACACCTCTAAGACTTGGAGGTGGGCAGCAGAGATTACAGCAGACCATTTCCATCCTGGACACAAACTGTTTCAGACTTGCCCTTCTAGAAGGAAGCTGTGGTCCATCAGGAGGAAATCCTCCAGCCACAAAAGAAGTTTCTTCCTGTCTGCCGTTACCCTCATTAACAAGGCTTGGGTTTCCTAATGATCCTTTTCCCTTGTAAATAATACAAAAATCTCAGCTCCTGCATATTCATTATTTAATTGCATAGTGTTGTTGTATTTTTAAGATCTGTCGTGGCGTTCTTCCTCCGCAAAATGGGACACTGCTTTTCTCTATTAATATTCCTATGCAACCTGCTTTTTTTCACATTCAATTATTTCTATACTTAAGTCACCTGTATGGCTTTACATGTGCAGTACTACTTGGCAATAAAGCTTCTCTGATACTGATAAAGACAAGCAGCGTCCTGTAATCGGCCACCCACTTACTTGACCTGCGTACTTGATGAATCACTACAAAGTGATATCCAGGAAAAAGACAAGAGTAGAGAGACGCAGAATCTATGCTGCTTGAAGAGTAATATGTTGACTGTGAAGACTAAAGTTTCCTTAATTATTTAGTAACAGATGTCATCTGCTGGTGTTCGTCCATTGTGTTTTATTTAGTGCAAAACAAGCACAGCTGTCTAAACGAAACGATTAGTCGCTGCTTCCCTCGGGTGTTAAGTTTGTACTTAATATACTGACAACAGAATCCCTGTGCTTTGTAGACCCACAGATTGATCAGCTCTAAAATGTTTTTAATAATCTATGGAGAATTGTCAAGATGAGAGAGCACAGCCAACATAAAGAATAGTTTAGATTATTAAATAAGGCTGAGCTTTCTTAACACCTCAGTATTGCCACAGGTTGACCATATCCATGCCATGCTGTACTAATGCAATAGTTAATGTAAAAGGTTCCCCTTACCCAATATTGACTGCATATAATATACAATACATGTCTAGAGAAGAAAGAGAAATAGATGAGGCTGAAATAAATGCAACTCAGGTACAGCAGTCTAACAGCAGCAGAGTAGAAACTGTAGAAACTAGGAAATGATTTGATTTATGTAGGACATTCTGTTTTTTTCCCCCCAGGAATGTCCTCTTAGGGGACATGTGCCTTAAACAGCAACATGCTCATAAAGGACACTGAAATACTTCTACAGTTGGATAGGGCACAGAGTAAAAGAAATATGTCGCTAAGTTACTTTAGGTTGTTTTGTGTGGGGTTTAAACCACTTTTCCATCATGGTCTGTTTCTACTGGCATGATGGTGTTTTCACCTGGGCCTATATGCACCTGCATATTTGCACACCACAGTGGAACTCTAGGGTGAGTACTGGGGGATCTTTTAAAGATTGGGGCGCCCCTCCAATCTAAGGTTGGAAAAATGCTGATATTAAAAATCAACATACGTTTTTCATGATTAGTGGTGATGAAAGAGTAAAACGGCAACAGAGGGTAAACAAAAGATCAGACAAACGAAAGATCAGAAAACCTTTCCTTCAACAAAACAGGGATGAACAGAAATAAGAGCGATTAATAGAAATGCTAACAGGTGCAGCTCATGACAGCCTGTTACGGCCCCTGGCCTTTTAAGACTGTGCAGGCTTTTTCTTATGCAGGTTCAGCTCTGACAGAACTCCCTTGGTGGCTGCCTGAGTGACATGATTGGACCAGCAGAAGAGTGTCAAGCCAATCAGGGTGCTGATGAGGCCCACCTGCACCTTATAAAAGGCTCCTGAAAAGCTTTCAGTTTGGGGACAGCTATTAGGAAGGTTTTGTTAAGCTGTTCCCCCATCTTGTTTTGCATCTGTTTTTGGGAAGAAAGAGCTCTTTGCCCTGGCTTTGTATGTACTTTTCTTAGTCTGCTTTAGGTGGACTTGTTCAAGCTAGTAGCTTGTGTTTGGGAGGTTTGGTGCTCCCTTTGTCTTTTCATTTGGTTTGTTTTTGTGTTAAAACTTAGTCTGACTGGTTTTTGGCAGTTTGTAATTTTATTTGCTCTTAGCCAATCTTGAATCTGTTTGCCCTTACCTTTTTTGTTTTGTTTTAACTGAGTTAAGCTATATTGTGTTTTGGGGCTGTTTAACCATCTTTTTTTGTAATAAATAATTTTTTACTTCCCCCGAACTACTCCAGACATTATTTATGTTGCTTTCCCAAAACCCCTAGACCTTGGGGTCGTAACACAACCCAATATAATTAGGTAAAAAAAAAAAACAACAAAAAATAATAAACAATAAAGAGGAAAAGAACAAATAAAAGAAATACCATAACTATCAGATCTAACTCTGTCTCATATTCTGCTTCAGTAAACCACCTACAAGAAAATATGGGTTTTTAGTACAGTTTTAAAATAGACATTCTGTTGTTTCTCACTCAGCTGAGACTTTAATAAAAATTTTTCCTATTCATTTACTACAACTTTCAAAATCAATCTAAACAGATATTTCCGAAACACTAATTAATCTAAGATTAACTTTTTGATTTTCAGTATTAAAACAAATGAACAATGAAAAGCTCTTCGGATTTACTGACATGTACAATTTATTTCAATTACTCACCAGACTGGTATCTGACTTTGGCGAGCAGAAAGACAGCATTAAGGAGACCTGGCACAATTTTGACCACAGTATCCAACAACGAGGCACAGTGCTGTAGCTGAGGAGCAGGAGGCTGGCCAGCAGCAGGAGGCTAAAAAAACACATTTAACCTATTAGTCTACTAGCTACACAGTTTCTAAGAAAGTTTTTAGAATGTCAGGAGAATATCGTTGAGCTAAAGAGATTTGTTTATTCAAAAAGCACAAAAAATGGATTTTGTACATAATCTAAGGTCAACAAAAACCATATACATGTTGTACCTTTGAAGGACAAAGAGCGAGATACTCTTTGACAATCTCCAACAGGAAGTCCGGGTTCATTTTCTCTAGATATTCAACTCCCAGAGGCAGACCCTGCAGTGAGGAGAAGTGTGTGTCTACTGCGTCGTTCAGAAGGTTGGTCACCTCCGCTGGGGGCTGGTGCTTTCTTCCTGCCAGCACAGCCTGTAGGTACAAAAGCTCCTGACATAATATGAGAAAAAAATTCAGTGAAAGTGACCAAAAGTGACAAAAAAGTAACAGCATAAGATGTTTATCTAGTTTAATAACTCATAGCTGCTTTACAAATATGGATATCTAAAAAAAAAAGAAAATATTACCCCTGATTTTCCAATGGACTGTTGAGTCACTGTGAGAAATTCCAACTGCTGCTCCGCTTCGTCTAATTGTCCTTTAATTAACTTGCAGCGAGCTATGCCTGGATAAACAAAAATAACAATCAAGAAAAGAAAAATTATCTCAGAACACATGGCAAAGATTTTTTTTTTAAATTACATTAAGGATAAAAAATGTCATGGCATATTCCAGAAAAAAAACCCTTTAGTCCACAGTACCAGTCAGAGCTGAAATACTATTTTTTTCCTCGTTACTGATGGCGATATTGTACCACTTCATGGCCTCTTTAATTCTGGCTTGAAGCACCATCTGGTAGCCTAACTCTGCGGCTAAATCTGGGTCCCCTGATGCCATAGAATGAGCTCTCTCCACCATTCGGAATGTCTGCTCTAACACTTTCTCATTGCGTCCACACTGTAAGACAGAAAGGTCACAGTAAAATTCATAAATATTATATTGGATATATTATAAACACATGTTGTAAGGCACGAAATAGCAACAACAATAGTAGGACAGTCCCATTCAACATTAAAAACACCTTCTGATTCTAAGACAGAAAATGTTTATAATCATTGCAAATCCAAAAACTCTATTTTAAATTCATAGTTTTCTGTGATAAACATAAGAGAATTAAAATTTTAAGTGACAGTGGTAAGTCATTAATCTGCTAGAAAGGGTTACTTTATGTGACGGACACAAAAAAAGATTTTTCATAAACATAAGTTGCTTCTCCTTTTTTTTAACCATTGTATTAGTCTAGCTCTATTCAAAATTAAAGTTATTTTGGTCGTACTTTTAAAATATCTGCAACGGAGCTTGCAGAATTTTGATTTTAGGGTAATATTTTCACTTTACACCTGAAGATATGTTAAAAAATATACTTTATTTATTTCCTTAAAGGGGTCATAGATGATTCTGTGGTAAAAAATATGTCCAACGGCTGTGTGTTTTATTTATTCTCGCTGCCTCTACAACTTATGTTGGGATCTAAAGAGTGAACCAATAGCTAAAAAAAAAAAAAAGCTACAGCAGCAAACAAGCATAGGAGTTTTTCTTCGTGTTTTGGCGTTATGGCGGACCACTAGCCAAACAGCGTATGAGTTACACTTGGAGCCTACGTAAATAACGTACTGGGGGCATGTGTGCAAATGTTTGATTGACAAACAAGTAGCCAATCTACATTCGACAACAGGCAAAGTATATTGCCTAGTAGGTCTCTTTCATACCTTTACGGTAACTTTGAAAAGAGGTGCTTTTTTTGATTGCATTAAAGTAAAAAATATTTAATTGTTAAAAAGGTGCCCTGCATGAGACTGGCAACCTGTCCAGGGTGCACCCCGCCTCTCGCCATAGAATGCTCATAGATGGATAGATGTTATAAAAAAATCATAAAAAAATGTTTTAAGCAATTTATTATGAAATATTTCCGTTACCAGCACACACCATCTAAAAAAAAAAAAAAAAAAAAGCATTGGACTGGATTGGAGAGTAAATGTTACTTCTATATCAATCTTCATTATTACTTTTCTTATGTTCTCTCCTTTTTGGGGTCTGAGTTTTTAGTTTTCAGTTATTAGTTATTATGTTTTGTTGATCTTTGGTTTATTTTCCATTATATTCAAGCAGTCTTGAGTTACTCTCTGTTGCCCCCTTGTGCTCGTTTCCTTTCCCCTTAGCTTCCTTCTAGTTAGTTCCACACACATCTGCTCCTTATTCAGCTCATTAGCCCATCTTTGTTCTGCTCCCCTTATTGGTTCCTTGTTGTTTAGTTGCTGTTAGTTGCTTCCTCGTCCCCGGCCTCCTAAGTGGCTATTCCCTGATCCTTTCAGATTTTTTTGTTTCCTAGTATTTTGTATTTTTGGATGTCTGCCTCAGTTATTCATTAAACCAACAAGAACTCCTCTCTGCTTCACTGGTCTCTACATTTGGGTCCTCAAACAACCCCCAACTAAAACTGTGACAACTTTGCTGATGATCACAGAGATTATAAAAATTCTTTTGAATTAAGATAAACTTGATTCTGATTCTGATCTTATTCTTTACAATATTTGAATTGTTAGGACCTAACTAAAATCACACAAAATTGTTTTAAACCCATATGGATTCAATACCATGTATAAGTATCAAATAAGCAGTAATAAAGTGAGGTATTTAAAGAAAAATCACACTATAGATGTAAGTATTATAAAGGATATTAAAAATAGGTCTTACAACACGGGTGAAGGCGAGAGACGTTCTGTAGTAAAGCTCGGGGTTGTTTGGTTCCAGTAGATCTAAACTGCTAATGAGGTTTAAAAGATGCTTTACTGCCTGTCAGGGGGTGAAAGGAATAAAACAGAATATTATATAAAATAATACATATGTTCTATTATATATCATTGAATCTTGTTAATTTCAAACATTTATTGTGGTAAAGATAAACTGTGTTCAATTTACCTCTGTGATATCCCCATCTCTGCATAAAGAGTGCAGAGCCAGCATCCTTAGTGCCTCCAAGTTATTTTTATCTTTCTGTAAAAGCCTGAAACATGATACAGGGGGTGTTAATAAAAGTCAATCTTTAACACTCATAAGGTAGGATTTCTTTCATTGACAGTAATAGAATATTTGATACTCCTACTCTACTAAGTAAAGCTGTCAGACAAACAGTTTTAAAACTAAAAGGAAGTGAGAAGGCAGCCAAAGGATGAGAGGACCACAGTTAGCTACTGCAATTCTTAAGATCAGGGGAAGGGAATCTAATCTGGCTTAGCTATGATCCAAATATCTGTAATATTATTATTCTAATTCTTTAAAACTAATCAAAAAGGCTTATTTGAGTTTTACAAAAGGCAATTTGGTATTTTATTTTGGAAATACCAGAAAAAAACATGTAATTAATTACCTGTGGGCAGCATCGATTGTTTGATCCCAATCTTGAAGGTTAAGCAGCAGCTTCATTTTTTTTATTAGAGCTGGTACAAACCCAGAAAAACTCACTATAACTTGGTTAACCATCTCTAACGCACCAGAGTAGTTCTGACGACATTCATAGTACTGTGCCTATTTGATAAAAGAGAAATATGTTAAAAATTAACATAACATGCAAATATATGTAAAACGGCATTGTTTGAAAGTGTTTCAGTATCCTCTCAAACAAATTTTTTTTTAAACAATATGTTATAATAATAAGTTAAATGTTTGATAGTGTGAAAAGATACAAAATCTACATGCATTTTTTTACTGCATATAAATATGGTCAAAAAATAAAAATGATAATAAGAACAAGTGGAATTATTTTCACCCTCAGAACTAATACACAGTTCACCTGCTCAGGGCTGTTGTAAAAAATTCAAACATCCAAGACTTATTCAAAAATGGGGAAACAAAATGCATTATAGCATCATAACATTTTCAGTGTAATATAATCAAAACAATATAAGTACTTTTCCCATCAAGCCAAAAACATCAGCTTTCTCTTTCAGGCCCTCGTCAAAGTACTTCCCAGCCTTCCTGATGTAGGCATCTTTCCCTGACGTTACATCTATCCAGGCTTTCAGGATTATGCCCTAAAAAACAAAGAAGGGGGGCAGTCACAAAAAAATGATTAAGTATGTTTATTGATCTATCCTAACATAGAATAATAAAGTCTTACCTCTCTGGAGCCATTGGACAGTTTGATCATTCTCTCCGTATACTCTCTTGCTTTATCATTGCGGCCTAAAAGCCAGAGAAAGGTTCCAGCATGGTACAAACTTTTAGGGGGAGCACTTTTACGATCCTCTTTGACCTTGGCATCAAGTTCCTGGATAATGTCTCTGTCTGAGAATTCAGAGAAACATCTAGCTTGGTCAACATACAGAACACAATTATTCATAGTTTCTTAGCCTTTTCAAATTTTGTGATGTTATAGACTGAACTTCCAATATATTTTATTCTGATGCAGTGCCATGTAACAGCACAAAGCAACACATACTGTAATGGCTAATTAGAGGGAAAAAGTATAATATTCAATGTTCTTAACAAATAAAAATCTAAAAGATGTGGCATTCAAACGTATTAGCCTCCCTTTTAGACCCATGAACAAAACCCAGTGCAACTAATTACCATATGAAGTCTGCCAATATGGAAAGTGCAGAGTGCAGCTTTGTATAACTTAATCTCAGTATAAACACAACCGTTTTGCAAAGGGCTTGAGGGTTTCTTTGACTAGAATTTTAAATGTTGTTTAATTGTTTTAATAATCGCTTTCCATCTGTAAAGACTGTGCCAAAAAAAAAAATATATTGGAATTTATACTGCTGCACAGTGCTAAAGTTTGTAGCACTGTTGCCTTGCAGTAACAGGGTTCTGGGTTCGATTCCTGCCCCAGGGTCTCTTTGCATGGAGTTTGCATTTTCACAGTGCAAAAACATGACTGTTAGGTCAATTGGGTGTGAGTGTGTGTGGTTGTATGTTCTTGTGTGTTTATGTGTTGCCCTGCAACAGACTGGTGACCTGTTCAGGGTGTACCTCGCCTCTCACAAATACACTACCAGAGATAGGCACTGGCCCCAACATGGATGGATTGATTGAACTCAATCTGGAAAAACCTATATTTTATAGATGTGAAGAGCCGGTAAACACATAAGAAGTGTTTCTTAACAGAACCGAACCAGGAAGGCTTAACATATATGGACTACACACCTTTTAGAGATTTATTTCTAAAGGAGTCTGAAAATCATTACACTTTACAATTATTTTTGCGGTATTTTTCATCAAATATAAAAAAAAAAAAGAAAAAAATGACAAACGATATCACAAATACACAGTGTAAAAAACAAAAAAACATTGACCAACCATACTGGATTACCTGGGTTTGTTTTTTTCTTCTCAGCATAGACAAGAGCCATCAGCGTGCAGAGAGACAGATCTCGATCATCTCTTATTGTGTCCAGTTCTGCTGTGGCTTCCTGGATTTCACCTGAAGGCACAACCCACATTTTAACAAAACGTAACAAATCATATTTAATCAATATGAACCTAAAAAACCATACCTTGCATTAGAGTTGCGTAGGCGTGGAAGAAAATGTAGATGGGGTCATTTCTGTATTTCCTTTGAGCAGCTGCCGTAGAAGTGACTGCATGATTAAAGTACTTTTCATAACAGAAGTACTTGATCAAAGCCTGGAGCAAAACGTTTCAGGTATAAAGGAGGGGAAGGGGGGTGGTTATTAAAATAGCTTGTTAACGCAAAGTGTAAAAACTAGTAGTGTGCATAGATTATTATTATTTTTTTTTAAATCTAGATTAATCTCATTGTAATCTTGGAATTAATCTATTTTAAAATAGCTCATTTGAATTTTGTCAAAGGGCATCATTAATCAGAATCAGAATTACGTAAATAATACCTTGCGGGAAATTAGTTTTTCTTGCAGTGCAATGATTTACAGAAGAGAGAAAAATAAGATTGTAAGTACAAATAAGATATAAGAATAAAACAAGATAAGGAAAAAATAAAAAAAGATAAGGATGATTGGTGTGTTCTACCTAAATGATAAGTAAAAGTAAGTCTTTGAACAGGTTTCTCCGGCCTGTGGCGGATTAGGCAAGGGACTCATCTCCTGTTTCCAAACTGCTTGACAAAGCTTTGATAACTGGTGATGAAATTAAATAGTACATAATACTCAATAAGGTATATTTGTGTTTATTCAGATAAACCTCAGTTCTGAACTGTAGGCCTATATGATAGGTCATGTTAACAGTTTACAGTCAATAGCTCTGTGTCAGTCAGTTCAAATTATCTCTCCTTTTACCACCAGTCACTCAGAAAGTGATTGTAATGTCATGTGAGGCTGGAGAAGCCGCAAAGGATGCTGGGTAATGTCAAAATGGGGAAAACGTCAACATTTTATCCTAGCGTTGTGTTAAAGAGTGTTGTTTATGTTGGTAGTCTGTTCAAGCTAAGCTAACATTATGTTTCACTAGTTGAATATAATAACAAAGTAACAAAGTATAACAAGTATTCTATGGATTTTATGTTACCAAAATAAACAGCAGCGACTAACTTGCTGGCAAATACGCTATAATTTTAAGGAGCAATTCAACACTAGTATAGACCCAACTCCAAGCCTGATATTGACTATACATAAACAGTGATAATATGTTAATTAGTCTGGCGTTAATGCAGCACCCACGACTAGTAAAAACACACACTAAATATGTGAGGAAACGAGCAATACAAGAATATTGCTGCTAAAGATACATTCGCCATCATGCTCTAAGAAGCATTTGTGTAACCTATTTTTGTTGGAGGGGAGGTTAACTTGCCTCTTCATCTCATTTACTGCTAAATATATTCCTAGTTTTTGTTTTTCTTCGCTTTTTCTATCGACCAGCCTCTATCTATCTATAATTATTAGCCAGTTAGCTTACCAGTGTTGTGTCTTCTTCCTCCATCTTGGCTTCAACGCCTAAAGTGGAGATACTGACGGGGAACAAATAAGCCCTTGCAATGTTTAAAGTTAGTAAAAACAAAGGCAATTAAGTAGATATTATGGTTATCTAGTTTTCTCTATCTTGTGCGGATACTTCGGCGTCGCTTGGTAACTAGGAAACGGTGTAGAAAACGGAATGTTTAATATACCCTCAAGTTTGACTGCTAGGCTTTAATTTCTTATAGGACGCCGTGGGAAGTCTTTTCATTTAGCATATCTGACAGATTATAAAATGCCAACAGGATTTTCAAAGATAAAAGTTTACATTAAATGGTTTTCAGAATTTCTTTTTCAATGCGTGGAGCGTAACGAAAGCTCAACACCACCATTTAAACCCTGACAGACAACACTCGGGAACAAAATTACAATTAATTACAACTCGGTTGCGTCTATTTAACTAAAGGGGGCGCAATAATCCTATGTTTGAATTTCCATTCTGAAACACTAATATATAATTTGAGTGAATTTAGGAAATGTGTTAGTGGTCACCTTAATTTTATAGGGAATGTGGGTTTTAACTTAAGAAAAAATATATATGTCACATAACTAGAGTAAATGTAGGTTAGCAACTGTATCAGTGTCATATGGAGACAAAGTATTATTGGCTTTTTCATTTAGAGTAAAGATACTAAAGAAACTGTAAGTAAGCATTTTGTGGAGGGATTCTGTAGTTGAATTTCTATTTTTAAAGCACTTCTTATAAAAAGAATGCATGCCAAAGGTCAGAGTATGTATAAGTTACTTTGAATACATGGAAATCATGCAAACAGGCTCCCTGGTTAAATTCCTCCTATTGTCTTGTCATTTGTTTTTCCCTTAATAAAGAAGATTTCCGTTTTTTACAGTAGTCTTGAAGGTTTCTTAGATGTTAATATATAATAACTGGAAGTCTTCACTTTTTATTCCCAAATGATTAGGCCTAATCAATAATTAACTTTGCTATACACAGTGTAAACAAATGTCTGATAACTAGAGGACCAAGCTTATGTAATACCATGAAGTATCTTCAGTCTGATGTCCATTGTGTTGAGTTCATTGTGCAACTGTTCCAACAGAGGATTTTCCATGCTCTGTCAGGTACTATTTATCACTGAGTCTGGCACATAATCAATATTCTCAGAAGATCAATGTGAGGGTAAATCAGGTTGATATTGAGCTTTGTGCGCAACAATGGCTAATTACTGTACCACATAAGTTTAGTCAGTGTTTAAATCGGTGATGGAGCTTGTTGGGATCCAAACTGAAGCTGAACTGGACAGAGAAACTCCATTATAAGTACACCTTTTACATAACAATTTGTTTATTAATACTTTTCATTATTTTAAACAAACCAAAATGATATATTTTTTTAAATCATACACACAGAGAATAGAGTTTAAAAATTGCAGACAACTAAGGTGTTGTACTTCGGTAATAGCAATACATATTACATGAGTTGTTGCACTTTTAAAGAAAGCATGTTAAAAACCTATTAGATGAGGACAATGTAGCCATATCCTCTGGGGTATGCAATTGCATTCTAATGGCTATATCCATTGTGGTTTGAACAGGCTGTTATCGATCACAGCACCATGCCCAATGTATAAGCATCTAAGCTGCTAATGAACTCTTATTTCAACTTTTAACCGAAATCTTGAAATTTGACTAAGAATCCCAGTGGAGGGAGCTAGTTTACCCAACAGGTATCTTTTTCTGCTGTCCATTTGCAATACAAGACATTTAAAAAAAGAGGCGTGCTTGTGTGTGTGTGAGAGTCGTAAATAGGAAGTGTTTGGAAGGGATGCAGAGTTTTAAAAATCTGTCTTACTTACATTCGTTGCTTTGAGCAGGAAATGAGATAATGTTAATAATTAGTAGGTGGGGATAAAAAATGTATTCCTGTGCATCTGACTGTGTGTGTGTCCATCTGTTAGCACCTTTAAAAGGTATACAGATAACTCTCCTCTGCCTAATATAATAGGATTTTCTGCCCATCTATCTGGAGTAAATGCAATTATAGAGCTGTTATGGGTAGCATTCTCAGATTTCTGTTTGAAATGATTTTTTTTTTTTTTTTTACTATGGTCTCTTCGCATACCAGTGGCCACATTGAAGCCAAACAGACATATTTTTTCATAAACATATCCGCCTATTACTGCTCGGCATTCTTGAATCCAGCGGATGGGCATGGCAGACCGACATCCGACCTTCAACCCTAATGTAGTCCAACAAAGGAGTGTTCCATCATGTTGCCTGGCAACCAGTGAGGAGAGTCTGCAGAATCATTCTTGATTTAACAGCCATTAAAATAAGCTATATGTAACCCCACTTGTTGCCATTAATGAGCTGTGAGTTAATTTGGGATGCATCTAGTAAAGTGAGAGTGTTAGATCTCTTACATCATAATGAAGATAAACTTAAGGAAATAAATAATTATAAGAATAAGAGACTTGAAATTTAAAAAGGTTTAATTTTTTTTTGTACAACCTGAAATACTAAGTGTATCCTTGGCAAACATTTCTGCAAGAAGAGCTCTGTCCAGAAAACAACATCTGAGCAATGCATAAGGGTGTGGCAGAAAAAGCCACAAATTCCTCATTTGACAAGATGACTGAAATAATGAGAACTTTGCCATCAGCCTCTCTTTTAATGCCCACTGTGTGGTTCTGCAACCACATTTGCCATAAGCAATGATGGACAATAACAAATATTTGGATAGTTTTTAATAATTCATAACATACTCTATCCACTTTAGATGATAATAGCTTCCGGCAGATTCGTGACAGCCTTCGTGGAAAGTAGATTATGGGCGCCTGTAGCAAAGGCTAAACTGACTGGAGTACACTTTGATTTCCGAAATTTGCATGTTCACAAAAAGTGATGTTATTCTTTCAAAGCAACATCTACATATTTTCTCATAAAAAAAAAAAAAACAGAAAACAAAAAAATATTGGGGAGGAAGTGGTGAGTAATCTCCATTTCCCTGGAAACTCAAGACAGTGATTTACTGTAAGCTGATCCATTTACAGTTTGAGTGCTCATTAATATCTTGCAAATGAAAATGAAAGCTGAAAAGGTCAACATTTTATAATTTCTGAGATCCCTCTAATGCTGCTTACAGTTGCTAAAAGCAACTTTTACAGACCATTACTGTAAAACCTTAAGATTTAAATTGCTGCATAATTTTTCTAATGTACAAGTGTTTGAAATCAAAGACAACGGAAAGTTATTTATTTGTCTTATCACCTTAATCCATGACTGCTCAATGGCAGTAAGTATTGGTTCTGATTTTGGAGATGTTAACTTGTTAATGCTTTATTAGTTCTTGTCTTTGTTATTAAAGCCACAGCAGCAGAGCAACTCTCTAAAATGTGAACTGAGGCTGCCTCATGGGCTAAAATATAAATGATAAAAAAAAAAAAAATACACTGTAAAGCTATAGTTGGATTAAATGAGTATCACCACAAGAGAGCTTTACAAATGTTGCAGATCAGACCTTTCTTATTGGTGCATCTCCATATGTACATTTTAACATTACAAATTGAGGAAATTCGAAATTCATTAATTATCTTTATTCTATATATTAATAAATAATTGAGGTCCATGGTTTAACCATTAGTAGGTACCTGGGTCTTATTTTATAAAAGTTAAATTCAGAAATCCCAGACTAGACAGCGTGAGGAGCACATCCAGACCTTATTTTTTCCGCAAAGGCCAAGCTAGCCTCCACAGGTGCTATGTCAAGCCAGGTGTAAGTAATCAAGCTAAATGCAGTTCTGCATATTTTTGCAAGAAACAAGGTTGATCACAGATCCAGTCTTATTCAGCATGTTGGTTAAACTATTTTTTGTACTTAAACAGCCTTAAACACATATTCCCTGAACACTTTTCTTAACTGAAAATAGCATGAGTTGAGGAGTTTCTTGTCATTTTTTTGAATGAACAATACTAACCTAAAATGAACAGGGGAGGCTAATATGGCAACATGGTCAGATCTCACAGCTTAGAGATTAATAAAACATTTCTAACTTTTTTCTTAGTCCCTCGATGGTACAGTGTGTCAAGTCTTTGTCCTGAATGCAGGATACTTCAAATTATATCCTGATTACTTCATAAATATTACATTATGATGATGTGAAATATTTTACTGAGCAGTATGATTTTTCACTTTTTTGTTACAACTTTCTGTTATTCCGTGAACTATATATTACCAATGATATCAGTTAGTTGTGCAATAATAAGTTTAAAAAAGGGTCCACCTGTTCTAATACTTAATTGTTTTTTATGTATAAATCGTGTTACATGAAATAATGTACAATCATTCCTTGATGTAGTTTTTCTTCTGTAAAAGGAAGTTATAAATATGTGCTTATTATCCTTTTAATGCCAATTACATACCTCACATGGTGCAGCAAATACCGTCTTTGCTAAGACGTTCAGCATCTCATACTGCATACCTGAACATAACACCAGTAGAAAATCTGAGCCCAACGTAGATCATCTGTGTAATGCTAAAGTCACAGCGCTGTTCTGTGTGGTGCTGAATTGGACGCCAACAGTCTGCACAAGTAGCTGATGTCATCCCCAAAAAAGCAGTGATGCTAATGCAAAATTCAATTATGAGCATTTCTCTGACACATCAAGTCTATTAAATTCCTTTCTGTCAGATTTAGAACAACTGCCATCTTTAAAAAAACACATCAAAGAGTAACAATATCCACATATATAATTAATAATTTAAGAACAGTATAGGCTACCATAATGATTTTAAAATAATTAAACTACTTGACTATGCAAGCAGCTTAAATGAGCTTTCTCTGAAGGTTCGATGGGCATTTCCTTCAGAGATAAGGTGAGGAGCTCAGTTGTCCGGGATAGGTTTGGAGAAGAGCTGCTTCACCTTCATATTGAGAGGAGCCAGAAGGGGTGGCTCCGACATCTTTGTCAGGCGTCCTCTGGACGCTTTCCTCGCGGTGCTTCAGGTATGTCCCGTCGGGAGAAGGTCCAGGGGAAAAACCAGGTCAGACTAGAGGAGTTATGTCTCTCTGCTGGCTGGGGAGCAACTCAGGCTGTCTGTGGAGAGGGAAGTCTGGGAGTCCCTGCTGAGACTGCTGTCCAAGCAACCCGGTCTCAGAAAAAGTGGAAGACAAGGAGTACAGCACAAGTACCTGACTATATAAGAATATAAATTAGTGTTTTTTTTTTTTTTTTAATGTAGGCTGGTAGAAAAATACCACAAAATACAAATAGGGTTAAAACAGTCCTAACGAAACGCACTGCTTTGATACATACAGCATTTATAAGATTTCAAAGGGGAGATGGATGATTTACAAGAATATACATTTGGTTGGTCAGATACTCTGGCCCACAGTCCAGCCAAGGTAGATGGCAGTAATGTCCCTTAACATTTGCCGACATCTGCCGACTGCACAGAGTAAATGACCATGGTAATTTATGTGTAACTTATGAAGTAAATTTGCCCCAGACATCCGGAACATTCTAACTTAATTCCTTATCTTGTTTTCGCGAAATAGGGTCTTGTTCACACAAAATATAAAACTAAAACAAGAATGTTAATGTGACTAACAAAGGGGGATTTTAATATAAACTGTACTGCAAAAAAAAAAAAAAAAAACTGCAGCTACATACCAATGCCAAAGAAACGGTTCTAGTCAGGTTTTCAGTAAACTCCAGCATGGTAAGATGATAAGATGCCAACTGTGTAGTAAATCCAGTCATGCAATATTCTCAGTACTATACATATCACAGTTTCTTGGTGGTAGAAGCGTGACGAATTGCTAAATAAAGAGCATCATACCTCCAAAGTAACTAAAGAGACAAATTGTCTTTCAGTTTGTCTTCAGATAAGTCCAGGATTGTTATATTGAGGTTTACACACTGGGCATCCAGTGAACAAACTCAAAAGTTCAGGGTAGCATGACAATGCATGGCATCCTGTCTGGCAATCTGTTTGGTGAATCTGATGTTGGCATTTACCAGTTAAATAATACTTGTCTCATAGTATTAGTCAAAGTTTGGTGTGGGGAGATTCAGTGTGAGCCCCTTTGTTAGAGTAATAGGATCCCTTGTTGCTACAGACATTTGGAAAATTACACCAAAAATATATTGGCAGCATTTTTAGGTGGGCATTTCCTATTCACTTTAAACCCAAACAAGTTACCACAACGAAAAGAACTTCAAACACATGGTTACATAAAAAATTTTTTGGTTGATAATCTTAATGTTGTTTTATGACGTTAGACTTCATTTAAATTTCACCTCATTCATAATAATTCAGTACACCAATTAAACTGTTTTGTTTGGTACAATTTAAAGTTTTGAATGCTAATGCTTCATTTGCAAAAAAACTTATTCAGTCCTATGTTCAGGTGTTTCTATACCATTAACTGATAACACTAAGATATTAACATATTTAAAGAATACTTGTTTGTCAGATTTACCATTTGGATCCTGAGTGTATCATCTTTATTCTGTACCGTTACACAAACAAATTACTTCAATAACCGTTTGACATTTTTCAGCTGACCACTTCGAACAGTCTATATAAAATATTGTAGAGCAAGCCACACCCATTGCCAACTAGTCATCCAATGGGATCCAATCTGCAGTAGTTCGTCCTTATCTAAGAGTTAAATTAGTTGACAGTTTTGGTTATTTTCTATTAAAATATTTAAATTATGCTTAATTAATACAGAAATAACACAGATTAATCCAAAGGTTTGTGTTAAATGTACTAAAAAAAAACTGTAACACTAACTCAACACATTTGAGTTCGCAGAAATGTAAAATTATGAGTTTCAAGTCTTTAGTCTAAATAATTTCTTTCATTTCAGCAATGATTGAAAATCAGCCCTTCTATACACGGTACGATTTTTTTCAATCGCTGCACGCAGCTACATCTCAAACTGTAAGACGAAACCGCAGGGATCAAAAGTTCACAGCTCACAATGTTTGTTTTCACACTGTGCGGCCCTACATTCTAAGGCGATTACCTGCTCAAACTGTACATCTAAAAACCATGTCGGACTCAGCTCTGTAGAGAGATGGCACTACTCGGACTCATCTATCTGGAAGCCAAACGAGTAAAAGAGGAAACGATGGTAGATTCGATGCCCCCTGTTAAATATGAAGATCACTAGCATGAAATGCTGAAAGCCCTCAAAAGAAAAGGCGACTACATTTTTGGACAAAGACATGGCTGAGCAAACGTGGCTACTACAGTCTGTCAATTTTACTGACTCCATTTCCTTTTCACCTCTGCAATGCTTCTGTTTTTTCCGCTGAGAGGAAGAAGAGGAATCCTTGTTTGGCCATGTGCACTACGCGATATGCCCATGACCACCTTACGACGGCCGACTAAATTTCAAACATGTTTGATTTTCTCCTGGCTTTACGATTCCTGATCGGGAGGTGGTTGTGAGAGGCTGATCGCCCATCGTTACCCCCTGTACACTACACGACGCACGATCAGGCTGAAAGTTGGCCTGATCGAAAAATTCTCTCATGGTGTGAGAATCGGCCCGAAAAGGGCAAAAAATCGTACAGTGCATGCCCGGCTTAAGAACTGACCATAAGCGGGGCATACACTGTGCAATATTTTCATCATCATCATCACTGCACACAGCTCACACTGTACGACCACACCACAGGGTTTGAGTTCACAATGTATGTTTTCAAAATGTGTGACCCGACACTCTGATGCGATTTACCTGCTCACACTGTACATCTTAAAACTACGTCGGACTCAGCTCCGCAGTGAGATGGAGCTACTTGGACTCGTCTATTCGGAAGCCAAACGAGTAGAAGAGGAATATGAGGCTCACTAGAGTGAACTGCGCTGCCTTGGCAATTTGTCCAATTTTGTACGCTGAAAGCCTTAAAAAGAAAAGGCGTTGACGTATTTGGACAAAGACATGGCTGAGGAAACGTGGCTACTATGGTCTACAAATTTTACAGAAAGAACTCCATTTCACTCGCACCATGCTTTTGTGTTTTCTGAGCGGAAGAAGGAGAGTCCTTGTTTGCACATGCCCACTGAGCGTTTTGTCCACGAAGGCTGATTGAATTTCAAACATGGTCGTGAGTGGCAGATCGCCCCTCGTTACCCACTGTAGACTACACAATGAAAGTTGGCCCAATCGGAAAATTCTTGCACGACTGGAAAATCGTCCCGAAAAAGGGCAAAAAATCGTACAGTGTAGGCTCGGCTTTAGAAATACGCTTTAGGAACAATGGTCGATATTATGAAATGTAATGGGAAGCCCTCCACAAAGAATTAACACTTTATTAGCTAGAAAAGTGGGGGCATGTTGCAAACTGAATACATTGTTTATGGGACATCCCTTGAGCTCAAATTTTGTATGTTGACAATAAATTACTTCTACAGAGGGCTAACTGTAAGTTAAGCCATCTTTATATATACCTCTAATTATAATTGACAATAAGACAGTTAGTACTTACGGTCTAACATATTTTTCATGTTTCCTTTTAATGACCTGATAAGATAGACAGATTAATTAAACAGTTTTTCGTGAAATGAGAAATGTATGTTAATGATTCCTGAGTACCTTGTTGCATGAAAGAAAGAAAAAAGAACCCTGTAATATTAAGCAGCCCGTTAATCTGACAATACTAGTCTGGTGTATTTCATATGTAGTCATTTATTCATGAGCTGCAAATTTACTGCCAATCTGAACAAGAATAGCCACATCATAAGTACAACTTTATAGTAATCAAAAATTGTAAAGATTTGATTTTATAAAGTCTTTACTTCATCATGTGTACATGAATAATTTATGTCAGCCGAGCAATGATACCCATGCATAAACCACAGTGGTGAGCCCCGATTGGGCTGCATCTTTCCAGGTTGGTGACATATTGCAAAATCTACAAATGATTTCAGAAATTATTCGACTGTTATTTGTAAGCTTTGTTCATAATAAATTTTTTGGTGCAAAAAAAACAAGAAAAAAAAAAAAAAAAAAAAAATAAACAAAACAAAGAATCAAAAGGAAATTTAAACGAGGAAAGATTTTCATATGGAGTAACTGCTGACACCAGGGTGGGACGAAATGACTTCAGATGTATTAAAAACAAAACCAAAAAACTAGTTAGAAGGAAAGCACAGGTAACCCCACTCTGCAACATTCACAACCATTCACATACAGAATTGAACAGTTTTACATAAATTTTTCAATAAAGCAAATCTGTAGGCAGACATGATATATATGTGTAATCTTTATTTAAACCATTATCCTTTTCATAAAATGCACTATATGTTTCTTTCATGCAGTTTCTTTATACACTACAAACCAAATGGATATACATAATAACTAGAAGTTTTATATGATAAAAACACTTTCACCGAGCAAAGTGTAGCATAGTTTTTACCATGCAAAATAAATGACATATGTAGAACTTTGCACACACACACACACACACACACACACACCCACACATACTCACACACACATACACCAGACACATCTAAGATTTAAGGTGGCAGTTGTAATAAACGATATAAAATGTAAACAGAGGCAGGAAATAGCAATGAGCACATGACATGTGTGATGCAATTTCCCTAAGATTCTTCATTTTATCCTGAGCCATCAAGTTCTTTTTTTGATAATTATAATAAATATTGAGAGGTAAACTGGAAAACAGAAGACTAACACAAAATTATATCATGAAAATACTATTAAAAGATTCATGATACCTTAAGTTTAAATATGAATAAAAAAAACATGAAGCAAAGTGAAGAACTTCTGTATTTTAGAGTTGTCAAAGCACAAAGTGGAGATTTAAAAAAGCATTAGCTTCGGTGCAACATTCAAGAAGTTTGTCTACAGGTAAATACAAAGGCAAATAGGATTTCTTTTAAAACTGGTTCCTGATGAAATTGAACCGTCACGAGGTGATGGTGGCTCAGGCAGTAGGGGTTTGCCCTGTAACTGATGGGTTGCTGGTTCGAGTCTTTCCAGTTTCTATGTCCTTGAGTAAGAAACTTCACCTGCGTTGCTTGCTGTTCGTGGTCAGAATCCTGGTGGCACCAATTATATGGGAGCCTTGATTCTGTCAGCCTGCCAAAGGGCAGCTATGACTGCAATGTAGCTTACAACCATCAGCAGGTAAATGACTGATCATAGTGTCCAGTGCTTTGGGGTCCTTGGACTTGATAATGTGCTATACAAATTTAGGCCATTTATGTCTCTTTTTTTAGCCAAAAAGCTGTGCATAATTAACATTTTTCATTATATTTGCCTTTAAACCGGAGGGCATATAACAATATTTTCAGTGATAAGCAAAGGTGCAACTTTTTTTACTCAAAAGAATTACACTCCTGACTGGAATTAACAGACACATTCAGTAATCAGCTTTGCAGCATAAAAAGTGATAGCCTCGAATAACTCCCTGTTCGAAATAGCACTCTTCGGCATGCATACCAGTGGAGAAATTTCATGCAGAACTTCATAAACTTTAAAGGTATTTGACAAAACTTTTTAGCACTATGAGGGATAAAGGCTGTTTTAAAACCAGTGTATTAATCCCAAATGAAACTTTAAAGAATCACCCTAAATAGTTGTAAATAAAAGCAGCCGCATGACAAAATAACAGATATCTTTCAGTTTGGAAAATGATTACAAAGAAATGAAGATGCATAAGAGGAGGAATAGCTGCAATAGTTATCAAAGCCAAAATTATTATCTTTAAAAATATTTTAAATAATTGTTACAATATTTGCAAATGTGTCCAAAGGAAGGGATTCCCTTTCAAAAGCTGTAAACATTTTTTTTTTTATAATTCCAAGATTCTGTTATGCTCTTCTATATTTCTTTTATTTATTTTGTTCACTGATGTCCTTGCTCTCAACTTCCTTTTCACTTTCATCCTTTTTATGTTTGTTGTCCCCATTTGGTGTCACACTGTTACTTGAAGATTGAGAGTCCTTCAAAGGTGGCTGTTCCGCCCTATCGGCAATCGATACTTCTTTAGGTTTTTCTGTAACATGATCTTCTTTGTCAGACAGCTGTTCACCCTTCTCATCATTAGCAATGACTGCATCAAAAATCTTTTTCCTAGTATAATGTCTGAAAGCTCTCTGAATCACAGCAGCTGACACGTTTTCCTGTTTGTGGCGAAAGGTGGTTGTGATGGGTTCGTACGAAACCTTGGATGGATTTGCAGCCATGAAGCGTTCTTCCATCTGTGCTCTGAGACTGTCCATATCCTCGCTATCACCCAAAACACGTTTTGTAAAGGCAAATAAGATATCAAGGCAGTGAATGCGGTCACCACTCACAACTGGTAGATCCATAGAGACAAGCTCAAATTTGTTAGGCTTGGGAATGCGTAGTGGGGGGGTTAAAGCATCGGCAAAGTCTGACAGCATGTTGTATTTAACAAACTGTGTAGCAAGAGGGTCAAACTTTTCCCAGACCTCATAAAATATTTCAAAGTCGTCCTCACTTAAAGGTTCAGTGCTCTCCTCAGTGGCCACCCCAAAATTCTCTATGATTACTGCAATGTACATGTTTACAACAATAAGGAAGCAGATAATTATATAACTCACAAAGAAGGCAATTCCCACAGCAGGATTTCCACAGTTTCCTCTCACGTTATTACTACCAGGATGCTCAAATAGAGGATCACAATCCCCGTTTTTTTCCGTATTGAGTATTGGATCCAGGAGGGCGTCCCACCCTGCCGATGTGGTGATTTGAAACAAACAGATCATGCTGTTTCCAAAGGTTTCAAAATTAAAAAGGTCATCAATGCCTTTCTCCCTCTTGACATGGGCAAAGTTTGACATTCCAAAAATGGCATAGATAAACATCACTAAGAAGAGCAAGAGACCAATATTGAACAACGCAGGAAGTGACATCATCAAGGCAAACAAGAGTGTGCGGATTCCCTTGGCACTTTTTATAAGGCGGAGGACGCGGCCTATTCTAGCCAGTCGAATCACTCTGAACAGCGTTGGAGAGACAAAATACTTCTCTATCACACCTGCAAGACAAATGCCTGTGGAAAGAAAGACAATCTTAACAAAAAGGAAGTACACAAATATATATATATATATATATATATAAATAAAGTTAATTTGCACAAAACAGAAAACAGAGGATAGACTTACCAACAATTGACAGGATGACCACAACAAAATCAAAAACATTCCAACCATTGATGAAAAAGTAATGGCGAAGTGCAATCATCTTTAAAAGACACTCTCCAGAGAAGATGACAATGAACACTATGTTGATGATGTTGAGGGTTTCTTTCCATTCTTTAGACTGGTCCTCTGTTTCCACCATCATGGTTACCATATTTAGCCATATCAGAACCATTATTATAATATCAAATGCTTGTTGTGTGACAAAATCAAAAATGTATCCTTGAAACTTGTTCTGAAACAGGCAAAAACAAAGAAAGCAAATCTGAGAAAAAAAAACAAACAAACCTGACAAAAGGAAAGATTGTATTTCCAAAAGAGACATGATTCATTTGTTATATATATTAGATTTCAATGCAGCTTCCTGTAAATTCTAAAAAAGTAAAAAAACATAATAGTGACTTGCTATTTTTCATATTTATGGCCAAGGTGCCAAAATGTTTACAGATGATGTATGTTTTCCTAATTGCAAGGCATGTACAAGTCTTTATTTTTTCATTCAATTTTGAGTAAAGATCTATAAAACCAATTTTCAGAAAATCCCTATTTTAAGTCAAATTTAGCATTTTTTGGCATGACATAAGTAATTTATACATCAGTAAAACAAAACTTTATTTTTGGTATAGAAGCCTGTTTGCAATTACAGTTTGCAGTTACAGTGCAGTTTGTGCAGTTAAAACTATAATTTGTGCTAGGTTTGTTCTAGAGATATTAATAAATATATTTTAGGTCACCCAGAGGTCACATTCTCCAGTTAACGCTCAGAATTTAACCAAAGTGGTCTTGTCTTTAAGTGCTACTTTAGTGCAAATGTGTTTTGTATTTGTCCTTGGAGCTGCTTAGGTTGATAAGAATCGTTTTTAATTTTGGCCGATGAAATCACCATCCAACCCATCGTTAGTGCTGCGCTTGTTTCTGAATATAAAGTTATTGCATAACATAATATGGCATTTCTGGGCTGCCACTGAATGTAACAGTGGGCATCTTAACCATATTTAGTAGGTGGAATGATTGTTTCACAATATTATCTAGTTAATCCGCCTCCAAATTCCTTCAATTTGGATCTGCTGTCACCCCTGGCAACCCCATTAAATTTCCCATAAAAATCTTGCTTTTGGCACTTCACAATAAAAGCATAGGTAAAATAGTAACAATAGTACAGACTGCTGCTAAATTGCTATCTATGCACAACATTTGAATTATCCTGTGGAGACCAGTAATTTTTGCTAAAGTCCTGGAAGCATTGACAAAATAATCCACTTTGATTTATCCAGAGCTGCATCTGGATAACGGTTGGATTTGGTGGCAATTCCTTGTGGCCAAACAGTTCTTCTAAGGCTAAATTAAAGCAGCCTTTATAAAAGCTACCAAACAAACAAACCGTAAAAGCATGCCTAATTTAATATTTTTTTCAAAATTATTTTCTTTATATCTCATTTGATTGAAAAATTCTTTGTCTCTGCTACACTTTAACCTAAATCCTTGTGGAGTTTGCAAGTTTGCATAGGGATAAACCCACTCTTGCCAAGAACATTGTGTTTGGCGTGAATGTGCTTTTACAGTCAGAACCCTTGAGGATAACCATAAAATAAAGAAATCTAATTTCTAGACTTTCAATACATTATTTAATACAAAAAAGTAAAAAGTGAAGATAGCAAAAAAAAAAGAAAACAGAAGAAACTGATACTTAGAACTGTAGCTATACAGTCATATGTTGAACATTACTGTTTTTCATCACAATGTATTTTTTTTTTTATCACTGCTGCTTAACTTATCAAGGCTGCACTTAAAAAATGAAATAGTCTAGAGAGCTGTTCTTAACGAAATTCCTTTTTGTTTACACTTGTGTATACGAAATGACAAAATTAAATCAGTCTTAGTCAAAATGAAACATATCTGCTTATTACACAGTTGAATGTTGTGATTTTATGGACCTCTGATCTCAGAAACAGCATACTGCTGAGCACCAAAACCTTCACACATAATTACTGCCCGACTGATTATACGAACAAAATGGACTGTAGCTAAAGGAAATGGCAAACCCTTTAAATCAGAAATTTTGACTACCTTTGTTCAGCTCAAAAGCTAAAACCCATTCATTCTTACCTAAGGACATACACTGCCCAACACTTGAAAATTTAATTTAAAATATTAAAATATAGTTTGACAGAAATTATTATTTCTAAAACTACAAATAATTTCTTTAAAATGCATTCAGTCCACTTTTGACAACTGCCGCTGGTAAAATATACAGTAGTTCACATACAGTACCTTCAACCCAGTGAGAAGCCATTTAAACATTAAAAACGGTGATAACTGTTAAGGCCTTTTGGACACAAATGCAATCTCCATGTTTTTCTCTGCTGGCAAAGGTGGGCAATGTTCTTGAAAAGTATTTCCTTAAAATTCTTAGATCTATAAGCTCCATTTGAATCCATTTATGCCTTATCCCTGAAATTGATTATGATTCTTCAAAAAGACATATTAACTTAGCCCAATTAAATAAAAGGTAAGTTTAAACTCAAATTTACTTACCTCTGGCCTTGGAATTGGCTTCTGGGGCTTCTTTGATCCCAGCTTCTTCATAGCATTATAGTATTTCTTTTGTTCATCCGTCATGAAAATGTCTTGACCTCCTAAGTAAAGTGGGTAACAAAGAATGTTAAACTAAATAAAAAGAATAAACAAGAAATTCTTTTAATAGATATAATACTTATCTTTCTCTTCTGTTGATTGAAATTGTCTATAATGACACCAATGAAGAGATTAAGGGTAAAAAAAGCCCCAAATATGATGAAGCAAACAAAATATCCATACATCTTCAAGTTGATTTCATATGCTGGCTGTTCCTCTGGCTATAAAGGGGACAAAAATACAACAAAATTAAAAGTGAATTGAAAAAAACATAAGCTTTATGTTTCAGATGAGCATTTTGTATCTCAGATACAAATAGTCAAAATATACATTTTCTATAATGGGGCTTAAGATGCATCACCATGGACGAGTTGCCAAGCACTTCCACACTTTTGCATGGTTTTCAAATCCTGCAACCTCTAGCTGTGAAGCAATAGTGCCAACAACTATGATACCTTGTACTCAATTTAAGTAGAACCACTTCTATTTAACTAATACCAGACATAATTTTAGACTTAAAGCTGCCTATGGCTGCTATTTTTGCAATTATAACCATTTGCTCTAAAGTAAGAAATATGCAACAATGTTCATAGTATATTTTATGTTACATTTTTTTTTACCATTTATTTTATTTTATTTACAAAACAAAGTCCTAGGTCATGGTGCCTCTGTCATGAGAGGTATAATTTTAGGTAATGGTATGTTTACATGCAGGTTGTTGGAAGAGCAGCCTTTGTGAATATAGCAAACGAAAATGATAATAAATCTTGAAAGATCTTGAAAGTAAATAAGGACCTGCTGAATGCCAAACCTGTAAAATAATTTTGGATTGAAAGGTGGAGAAAAAACATTTAATGCAATGAGACACAATTTGCTTCCATTTCTCATCCTGTCCAATTGTAGCTTCACTGCCAACCAAGTAGTTGAATTTATATCCTCCCTGGATATAAACGGATAAGGAACGGAAAATAACAGCCCAATGATAGAAATGCAGCTTAGGGAGTGCCAGTCTAGAAATTGTTCCGTAAGTGCATCTTAGGTACTAAGTGCAGTTTCCTTTCCAAATGGTGATGCAAGGTGAGGTAATGGAATCAAGAAACAACAAAAAGAACTTAGGTATAAAAATCTATTACCTGAAATAAATATTTAAAAATTGGTGACGTTTTCCTTTAGACTTCAAAAGTGTTTTCCTCAAGGATTGTGTTTGATTATTGCAAATGTTATAGTCTCAGTTAGACATAATTAGTTTTTAAATAGTTTCCTTTGAGGAAATTATCTTACTTTCAATGTTTTGTGATTTCCAGAGCTTTAAGCTGCTCTTTTACATATAGGCAGGTTAATCTGTTCTAGTTAAATGTATCTCTATTAAAAAAGTAACCAAATTAGGCAATAATGACCACATTAAAACAGTAAACATATAAGGGGATTTATAATTTTTAAAAACAAATAAATGGAAACTAGTAATAAATATGACCAAACCAAATAACTTGTAGGCACTCACAACACTGGAGGTTTAAAAAAGGGGCTCTGGAAATTAGAATTAATTATGGCAAATGAAGGTGGCAAAGGTGTTGTGTATCATTGTCTATGACAATAGGATTTTTCAAACTACTATAGTTAGTCAACAAAACTTGTTGAGAAATCGAATCTGATCAACACATTAGATGCAAAAAAAGCAAGGAAATTCTGTTTTTTTGTAAATCCGTTGTTACAATTCTTCTTAGAATTATTATTATCAAATAAGATCCCAGTGAATATGATAAGAAAGCCTTCTTATTTTCCCTTAAATAGTACCAAGTGTCACAGGGGTTGACATTACCTTTTTTTCTATTATCTTTAAATATTTTCATAATTTTTTCACTTTTTACAAATTTAAGGTAGTGATAAAAAACGATAAAAAAAGATTTGTAAACTTTAATCTATGTGCAGTTCACATTTCCTAGCACATTGGTTAAACAGATATTTAGCTTAGCAGTAGGTTTGAACTGGGAATGCTCTATACAGGTATCCATTTCTTTTTATTTGCATCTGGGACAAGCAAAGGACGTTGTCTTACTCCCATATTCAGGGTTTGCGACATCAAGAGATTATAATTCGTCTTTTAGACCTGAAAAAGTTTTATCTCCAGTTGTCCTTCCTGACACAACCAAAATACAAACACTGGATTCCCACATCACAGCCAAAGACTTAAATGACTACACTATTGAGATAATGTATTGAACTGTCTGAAATAGGTATAAAAAGCCCATCTACAGCGATCAGATGTTCACTACATCTAGACAACATTTAGTAATCCTGTGGAGGTCAAAATTAGACATCAGGTAGTTGGAAGAAATATTGCCTGGTGAGACATCTTAATGGACTTAGGTTACGTTCACGCAGCAGAAGTGGCCTATATCCTTTTTTTTTGGGCCATATCTGACCTGTATCTGATCATTTCATGACAGTCTGAACAACACAGATCCAATTTCTTTCCAATGCAAACCAGGCTACTTGGCTATGTGGCCCGCAATCTGATACCTATCTGATCTTTTCAAATGTGTCTGAACGGCCAGGTCGCATTCATCCGACCTGTACGAGATTAATACTCAACAAAGGTCCCTATTCTCCGTCTTCCTGCGCAGAAGCAGGAATAAAAACAGCAAAGTATGATAATGCGGAGAGCAGTATTTATTTTCAGCCTTGTTGAAAATATTGTGTTCTTAATGCACTGGTTGAGGCTGTGAAAGAAAAGAGAGATTATAAGATCTGCTTCAGCAGTACCATCCATGTTTACTTCTGTAAACACAGAGTATGCTCGCTTGTGACATCATTGTGTCAGCTACTGCATATATGGGACATTTAAATTGTGTGAATGCAGTTAACACAGGAGATTAAGTAAAAGTCAAATATATCTGAAAGTGTGAATGACCATGCAAAAGAATCGGTTTTTACAAAAAAAATAGTCATTGAGCATTAAGACCTGCAATGTGAATGCAGCCTTAGATGTGCAAAAGCAACCGAAAAAAGATGCCAGATGTGTTTTTGCTTATAGGGAATACACTATGGTATTTTATCTTGGGAGATAATATTTTAAATACATAAATAAATATATGCTTTCAGATATCTTGCAAAAAAAAAATCTTGCTTGGAAGTTATTAATACATTTATGCAGAGTTAGCAATGCTAGGAAAACAAAAGTATATATTTTTTTACATCTTTTGGAGAATCCACAGCAGCATACATGATATCCGTCCAGCCTTTGAACGTTGCCTGTAAAGACAGATACACTAAGTTTGGAAATGCGTGAAATGATAAATAATAAAATATATCAATTATATATTACTTACAACTTCCAGAAGAGCAAGATAGCCCATTGCCACATTGTCAAAGTTGACTTTGAGGTTCTTCCATTTTCCATTTGGATGAATATCACAGTCATTTTTGTATTTCACTATTTCTTTGGGGAATTCTTCACCAGTGTCGTTATGAACACATTTGTAGAACTTTCCTGCAAATAGGTTGACTCCCATTATGCTGAAAATAAGCCAGAAGATGAGGCATACCAACAGCACATTAAATATGGAAGGAATGGCTCCCAGGAGGGCATTGACAACTACCTGCAAAAAAGAAAAAAGCCAAAAATGTAACACATATGTACTTCTTAAAGCTTAGGGCATTTTTCAAGGAACTAACAACACCTTAAATACAAATATGTAGGAAAAGGAAAACACAAGAGTAATGAGACAAGTGTTAAAATAAGGGTGCAGGGGAGAAGGATATGGTTTCAAAGCCATGGTCAGTCTAAGAAAAGCCAGGAAAAATATAGGAAAATAAGATCTATTGAAGATGTTCTTATTTTCTATAAAATTTAGTAGGTTACTTAGTGTTAAATAAGCATTGATAGTAAACTTGTCACAGAAGATGACAGATCCCAAAATTGTAATCAGTGAAAAAAAAAAAAAAAACATAAATCTTAGAGAACATAGTAAACATTATTACAAAAAAGAGAAACCGATAACAACTTAATTATAAGAAAAGAGAATGCTGATGAAAGATTTCAAAGGTAAATGTGCAAGGAAAGAAAAATAAAGGCTGATCAGCACAACATGAAAAGAATTAAACAATGCATGCTTGATTGATCTATTTTACATAAGTTACTTGCTTTTGTAAATACCATGAGTAAAAGAAAATGTAATTAAAATACAGACAAATTGGAAACACTTCTAAAAACAATAGCAGAATAATGTATCTACAGTATGAGGTCATATCTACATTGACAAGTTAAATTTAAAAGAAGCTAAGGGCACCCCATTTGGTCCTTGAGGGCCCCTTGGTGCCTGGGTTAGGGGATTTTATGAAATAGACCTAAAAAACCTAGATACATTTGTGAGATGAAAGAAAAAAAAAATCCAAATTCTTACAGATACAAATATTGAAATTTGGCCTCCATTTGTTTTCAGCCTTGTTGAGTCACTACTTGAACCACATTTTTCTGCAAATACCAGCTCTTCTGTGATCTGTACCGGCTATCTAAATCTAGAAACCGGAGTTTATTTTACTTTGCAACTGGTTGAAGCTCAGCCAGGTTGAGTGGAGAGCATGGGTAATGGCAAACTCTTGTAGCCATTCCTACATTCCTACATATCTTGTGATAAAGGCCTTAATTTCTTACACTGATGAGGCATCTTCGGATATCTTCTGCATTGCTGTCAATAAGGCGCAGAGAGTGGCTGTGATGCTGCTGCCCATTAGAGCTGGCTGCTCTGAGCAGTGTGTGGCTGCCCCTTCTCACATAGGAAGGCTGGACTCACAATTAAGGTTGCAAGTACCTGGTTGGATCCCCAGCCTCCACTCTGGGTGTCTGAGCAAGATCCTTAACCCCCAGACTGCTCCCCGGGCGCTGCACAATGGCAGCCCACTGCATCCCAAGGGGATCAGTTAAGTGCAGAGATACATTTCTCGACCAATACATCAATAAAGTTACATTATTATTATTATTATTATTATTATTATTATTATTATTATTATTATTATTATCAAAACAGTTTGGTATCATTAAATGTTTCTGGCAAGAAGTAATTTTGCGGCCCAAAAAAAATGTAGTGAGACACCGTGTCTGAGCTTGAGAGAATTTAGCTAAGCACACTCCCTATGTACTCAGTGTATACCTGTGAATACATGTATACACAGTTATGTTGGTGCCTTAAGAAAATATACAGTAACAATACTACAGCAAAGATCAAACAAAAAAAAGAGGGAGATAAGAGTTGGAAAAAACAGAGGTAATAAGAAAAATATGACTGTATGTAAAAACCTATAAGGTCTTTATGTATGGTGCATGCTGGGGGGTTGTAAATGTATTATGCAGTGCAAAACGAATTTTGATTTTAAATGAGGATGTCTAATACTGTAAGTATTGGACAATACTGGCTACAAATCTGAATTCCTGTCACCTGTTCTTGGATTTAAGATTCATTCCCCCCAAAAAAAAATTTAACTACAGAGCAAAATAATCTACAATATCTATAGGAACATACTCCACTATTTTTATAAAAATAATATTTAATATGTGTCATAAAGGATTTTGTAAAATTACCTTGTACGATCTGAAATCTAGAGCTTATTGTCAGGGTAATAGCTTTGTTTACAGTTTGAAAAATGCTTTTTTGTTTCTCTTACCCTCATGCCCTCAAACCTCGACAGGGCTCTTAGTGGCCTTAGAGCTCGCAGGGTCCTCAGAGATTTGATTGCTCCTAAATCTGAGCGTTCTAAGGCATTAGCCACCAAACTGACCAGTGAGACCTGGAAAACGCCCGCAAAAAACATTACAGTATAAACTAAATCAACCCAGCAGGTACAATATATATATATATATAAAAAAAACTACTTTAAAATACTAAATACCATCATTTTAGTGTTTTTTTTAAATATAATGTTACCTACATCAACTGTAGCTAACTCATAAACACTGAAAACTTTAATTGAATGAGTTTTTGGGTAAACTTTTGTGTTTCAACCTACATCAACAATGAGGAAGTCCAGCCAGCACCATGCATTTGTGAAATACTTTGCAAATCCATATGCCATCCATTTCAGGAGCATTTCCAGAATGAAGATGAAGGTAAACATTTTGTCAGCAAACTCCAATACTACTTTGATTGTCTTCCTCTGCTCAGAATACACATCTTCAAAAGCCTAGTGAGTAAACAAAGGGGATCATTATAGCACCAGTTATTATACAACATGGCAAATATAAAGCAAGCAAAGAAATACAGTAAGCTTTACTTTGCAGAGAACAAAATCTTGTTAACATACAAGTGCTCCACTGCTCAGCAAAATCATGAAGATGATGAAGCTTTCAAACCAGTTGTGCTCAACTATCTGGTAACAGGTCTTCCTTAGTGTCCACCACACTTTCCAAAAGCCTTTATTCACATTTACTTGGCAACATTTGAATTTCTGCACACAGCCTGAAATGAAAAAAAAATCTGATAAATGTGTATCATTTAATTAAAAGCAACAAATGACTGCAATGTTAAAAGATTTACCTGCGGTAAAGCAGTCATGTGGGTCCTTTATCTCGTTGAATACAGGGAATTCAAGCTCAGCTGGCTCTCCTTCTGACAGGTCATCCACTGTACTCCCCTCAGAGGCACTTAGCTGCTCATCATCAAAACCACTGACAGCCTGTGGATACCATCAGATTTGTGTGAGAAAAAACAAGGGAACTAGAACCGGTTTTGAAGGCCTTGTGGTTTTTCTATCTGTGATTATTTTCACCACCACACCAACAAGAGGTGTGGTGGAGAAACTTTTAGTATTTAAACTTTAAACTTTTAGCAATTATATACTATTTTGTTGAGGTTGCACACCTATTGTAAGAATTCCTTGCTGAGGGTTTAAGCTTTACCCATATACAATAACAAGCGGCTCTCTGAGTAAAGGAAAGACAACTGTGTGTGTGTGTGTGTGTATATATATATATATATATATATATATATATATACA